CCGATGGCGGTGTAGACTCGTGTTCCGGGTATAATGCGAGGGATGATGGCGCCGATCCAGACGGTGATGAAATTGAATGCTCCGGCGGGTGTTCCGACGAGCATTGTCTTGTATGTTGAGTAGCCGAAGCCGTGTATGACGGTGGAGCTGTACTTTGGAGTGGGAAGAGAGTGGGTTAATACCTGATCGAAGTACTCCAGATAAGGAGGGCTGGCATACCTTCATTATGGGAGTCGTGAGGGTGATGCATATTCCCATCAGGCAATAGATCCAAGTCATCGGCGACAAGAGTGCCTCCTTGAGTTGGGCTTTGTTAAATACTGCATGATCCCGGGTAGCCCGATCGATCGCCATGCGCTGAGTTGCCACTTCTCGTTCCTGTGGACCCAGAAACCAAGCCGTCGTTGTATCTCGGGGCATCAAGAAGATGAAGAGTAGACCAGTTGCGGAGGTTAAACCTCCACATATCAGGAAGAGGGAACGCCACGGGGCAAGCGACATGTTTCCCTTTCCGATACCATACATCATGAGGGCACCTATAATATTGGCTATACCGTTCATTGATACCCATGTAGCAACGCGAATCGGATGTTCCTTGCGCTTGTACCAGATACTCGTGATAATAATGAAAGCTGGGGAGACGGTTCCTAGTGGGATAGTCAGTCTTGTGAGCGGAAGGGTAAGGGGTAAACGAGTGAGTCTTGCCTTCGGAGAACCCTAAGAAGAATCGCACCGCTGCCAGGCCCGCGAAGTTATGAACAGCAGCCAGACACATATTTACCCCACCCCATATTACGATAGTTACTCCGACGTAGATTGTAATCGGAAATCTGGAGAGCATGATCGCAGCTGGGTATTCTGAACAAAGCTGTCCCAGATAGAATAACGAGACAGCCCATGAGAACTCTTGACCTGTAAGCTTGAGGTCACTTCGTAGACCAAATACCGCGGCCTGGTTAATTGTCTGCTTGTCGAGGTCTAGATAAACAATTAGACTCGAAGGAAAATGAGTACCAGTATATTGGCTGACATTGGAAGAAATATACGAGCACCATCAGAGGCAGAATCACGCAGTCAAGTTTTCGAACGACCTTCCTCTCGATTTCGGGGTCAACGTTGTAGAACTGCGTATCATCTGCAGCTTCTAGTTGACGCAATTCACTCTCAACCTTGTCGTCGACTGGCTTCTCCGGGCCAGGGCTTGCAAGGTTCCGAGCCATTTTGTAGCGTTCGACAACTCGAAGAGTTAAAGCTATATGGAGAAGGAGTGCAAAGGGAATACAGAAGATCTCAAATATTGGCAGTGTGAAGACAACTTGCTTCTAGAGAGATATTCAAATAGTATCTTCGTCACCTCGAAAGAGGGGTACAGCGCTACGTCGTTTCTACCCCACGGGGTACCCCAGATTGAGGGACAATGGGAATAGGTTCTCCGCATCTCCATCCACTAAACGAGGAAACTAGGTCATTGAATACTCTGAGAGTGTACACACAGGTAGCAAGGCACAAACCCTGGCCGAAAAGTATATTGGGAGGCCTATATCGGCCTAATGTCAGAATCCCGATAGTTTGCATGGCCAAACAGGATAGTGGCTCGGCACTAAGAGTTCGCTGAAACTATGTTTGCGTGCGATACCATGATTCGGCGTCTATAATACCGAAAAGCCCCATACGCCCCCATGAATTTCTTCGATGGGTCTCAGTTGGTGGTCACTTGATGCTCTGCACGCGGCACTCGCAACTCCAACGTTCATTGGCTCGGATAAGCTATTTAGTCTATCTTCATCCATTATACCACTGTAGAGGATTCCGGAATATGTTTCCCAAATATATCGGCATTTACGTCTTGGACGGATGGTCAAACAGACGAAGCCATCACTTTTGCTCCACATCAATCAATGGATAATGCCTATCACCCTCGTCAATGATCGAGTAGCATGGTCTTCATAAAACCTCTCGCCTGTCGGGCAGTGAAAGCAACCATATTGGACCATTGCTGATTATGTAGACATGCAGGAAGTCTAATGTTGTCATATTGACGGATAGGTAGATAAATCTTACCTTACTCCCTGGTATGAGTTTGATATTTGCCATATCATAGTTTTTCTCTTTGGAAAAGCAATTTTCTTTGCAGTCTTCAATAAACAACCGCGAGAAAATCCAAGCCTCCTGTTTGTCAAGCGGAGACAACAAAGATCCTTGATATCTAGGTCCTCTATGACAGTGGATAATTTCAGAAGGTAAATAAAAAAGCTGGGCTTGCATATTGGGCTGGTTCATGATGTCTTCGTATAAGCAGAACAGTAAGTTAAATAAGTGGTCGGAGTCGCTTCAAAGCGATGCTGACAAGAGAACCTGACCTAGCATGTGGTATTTAAATAATTTCACGTAGTATTCGACTCTAATTCTTCGACTGCTCAACTGAAACTCTCAAGAATGAATAGCTGCAACGAGTATCACCAGTATTCTTTGATGATTTGCGGCAATAACATACCTTGTCTAGTCAACTCCTGGAAAGTCCCCGTTCAAGGGTGTTGCACGAAGGTATACCTCCCGCCTTAATGAAGGTCCCGTAGGCGGGGACGAGGAATAAGGGACACAAGTTAACAGCAAATTCTTCTCATCAACGCAGAACAAGGCTTCTATAATGTAGTTCATGCCAAAATTTCTTCAGTTCCAAGACCATGCCGGAGATCTGTCCGGGACGGCTAAGGTGATTGTTTGACACAGAACTGGGAAATTCCCTGGCTTATTTGAATGAATAGAGAGTACTCTGTAGTTTGTCTCACGCCACAAAGAGTTATCCACTGTGACATCAATGTCCGCAATCTACTGCTGGACGATAACTTTGACGTCTTACTTGCAGACTTTCAAGGTGTTTTGAAGTCGGAGAATGGCGAAAAACTGCTAGATGGGGAGTCTCGATAAAATTCAAAAGCATACATGCCTCGCGTTCACGGTGACATTGTGAATGCCAAGACGGATATATTTGCACTGGGATCGCTATTTTACCATATCATGATGGGACATGAACCGTTTCCGGAATTGAATGACTGGGAACATGATGAGGAAATCGAAGAACGTTACAAAAATGGCCAATTTTCTACTGACAGCCATGCATGCTCTCATATTACAGATAGGTATTGGAGGAAGTTGTATGGGTCTGCTGATCAGATAATCTTTGACCTTTCTCAGATTCAGGTGTCAAAGGATGCTGGTACAGAACACTAGGAAAATAAATAGTTCGAACTTCACAAATATGACTTGATTTCAAAGCTCAATAGTTTTCTCTCATACAGATATGCTGTCGCTTGATCATGAGTTTGCGTTTATCTTTGTCGCTATCACAAGGCCAAAATTCAGAGTTGACGAAACTCCATGTATCCATTATCGACACTTCGGACAGATTCCGAATTGCATGGTCAAATATCCCATGGTTTTGAATCCCAAGTGCACATCCTTATATCCTCCGCAGATCGGCCTGCCACAAGGAGGCAGAGGATCATAAATGGTAAATTCATGCTTCGGCTGTGCAGTGCAATTGACATAATTGACTGTGCTGACGAATCGCTCACACATGTTGGTATGGGAAAAGAGAAGCCGTGCTATGTGTGATCTGGTTAGTCCTGGCATGACCTCATGGAGAGACGTGGCACTTACATTGATGAGGAGCACTTGTAAGGGCAATATCTAGGATGGTAGCTATTAATGAGCTTAGCAGATCCTGAAATGGATATATTCCTTCACACGAAGAGTGGTGTTTGCATGGTATTTATGCACAACTGGGCTTTTTCTCAATGCTACCAGCAGATATAGATTCGGAATATGCCATAACCTTGTCAAGACACAATGTGCCTGCATCGTGGGAACGTGAATGGCAACAGCCGGAGTAATACATGAACCATACCAGTTCGTTCTTAAGGAGAATGATCCAAGGCATTAAATCATCACAGAGGGTGTCGACGCGCTGACTGCTAGACAGAAAACGATATATCACGTCTATCAGATCAGCCAATGGAGAGGTATGTCTCAACAGACAGTCCTGTCAACTAGACCTGCATGCCCCGGCGCATCGTTGGAAGATTCCTGTTGCAGACGGCACTGTCTTTGATATACCCATGTTAACGATGACATTCTTTGTAAGCGAACGACAAACTATGAGTGCCTGCACCTCCAGGAGAGGCTCTAACCTAGCTGCATTGCCGATGCATGGCCTCAATTCCAGCGATCATGGTCTGTGGCATTGACATGTCCCGTCCCGTCCTGCCAGGTATAAGTGAGTTATGAACCCATGAGCCCTTGCTCGCCGTATTCACCCAAATGATGGGAATACAACCGATTCTTTAAGTGCCGATGTACTGCCGTTGTATGAGATGTGGCTGTCGGGAAATAGAGCCGTCAAGCATGTACCGGTGGATAGGCGGGCAAAATTGAAATTGGTTGCTCGCTGAGGTGATATTAATCAGTATATCGCGTAAATCTCCTGACAGTTAGCCCTAGTACTCACCTATAATAGGATGTCTCATATGTCGAATTTCATTTTGGCGTATCGTGGAGTCAGTTTCTTGGTCCTTGATGTTTATGTTCTTGGCAGGCATGTTCTGTGTGGAAATAGATGAATAAAGTTTACAAGAACAAGATTCCATAATTCAAATAAATCACAACTGCTTTAATAGCGCGAGCTGGTTACGTTAAGTGAATAGCACGGAATAATGTATACCCTTCGCCCGTTGGTGATCGCCTTCACGCTAGACCTAACACCAGAAGTATGAGAGCTGGCTATCCGAGAGAAGTAGTTATTAATTTGTTAATTTATTTCTGTGTAGACTTTCCCTTCGTCGTGTTCTTTTGATCTGGTGGTCGCACCGTCGAAGTACTATCTCTTGTGAATTTGATGGTAGTGAGATTTCGCCGTCAACTCTCAACGCATGAACGTACCGTTGAAGTTTGTTAAGACAGCAAGTTTGCTGGATCAATACCAGAGAACTGGTAAAAACACCATGGAAGAGGAAAGAGTCAGTACTCGTGTGCCTTCTTATATTGGTTTAACCTGATCGATTGAAATCTGCTTCTAACTTCTCAATGCCCAGACCATGGAAAATGGACCTTCTCAAGCGCCAGGGTATCCAGAAGCCCTGCATTACAGGTTTATACCGCCCAGTCTGGAAGGTCTTGAATTCGTGCCCAACTTCGGAGATATTGTTTTTCGTGTGAAGGGGCAATTCCTAGCCTGGGGAGGAACTGCGGTCCTAGAACGTTTGCCCTCAGGGAATGTGGTCAAGACGCCGCTGCCGAACCCATACTTTCAACGCGAACATGAGCGTCATAGAAAGAGTATGTGCATCGAGGCCATTATCTATGAGATTCTGAAAGACCATCCGCGCGTACCAAAATATTTGGATTGGGACCCAACCACCTGTTGCTTGACGATGGAGTATGTCGAGAATGGGAGCCTTGCGGATTTCCTAGAGAGGAATCACCAATCGATAGCCGATAGTATGAGGAGGAAATGGGCAAGACAGGCAGCCGAAGGTGTTCAATTGCTTCACCATCATAACATCATCCATTCCGATCTATCGCCTCACAACTTTCTCGTCGACTCGAACCTGGACTTGAAGGTCTCGGATTTCGCTGGCGCCTCTGTTTTCGGTGCACCTGGCTCTGCTCTTCCCGGTACCCGCTATCGTGATCCACATGTTGAGGGGTATGTTCTCAGGTCCTCAGATGACATCTTCAGCCTGGGATCAGTCATTTATTTCATAATGACTGGCAAGCACCCTTACCAGGACCTGCCCAGCGATAATGTCAAGTATTTGTTCCAGTGCTCCCAATTCCCTGAGGTCGGTCACCTCTCATGTGGCAGTATTATAAGACGGTGCTGGTTGTTGGAAGTGGATGCCACTGAAGTGTACGAATACTTCAGCAGGCATGGATGATTGGACAGACTTTGTATTTACTAATTCCCAGCCAAACATATGAGGTTCATATTTTGTCCATTCTCACTGGCCATCCGCACTGCATGTCATGGCAGTGTTCGTAGGTGCTAACCACAGCGGTAGTGACTGTGTACCATATGCATCATATCCCTTTTCTTGATGTGGGGAGATCTTTTGCAAGTGGCTGTCCCGACCGATAGACGTCCATTCTGCTTCTTGCAGACGCGCCAAGTAGTCGCGTTTCTCGCACACCAATTTACTACTCGTTCACGACCGATCGTAGTGCAAAGCGGTAGCAACAGTATGTCATATGTCCAAAATGAGAAGGGTTGCATACTCGGCCTTTTATAGTTAAGTTAAACGTAAGAAGCATTAATGTGAAAAGATTTAGCTACTAACCGATCCAAAAAATCAGATAATCAAGGTTAGATAGAAGGGTTTGTTTTAGGACGGCAGTAAGATGTGCTTTCTGTATGCTCATTTTGGCAAAAGGCTTTCTAATGAGGACCCTATATTGGTTTTAGCCAATGCATGGAGAGATGTAGATGGTTAGATTGAGCCACTGGAGGCGCGACTTTATAGCTTTCGTAGACCTTCCTTGAGTGAATTATAGAATTCAAAATGACTATAGTATTCGGGTTCACCATTTATCCGAGTGAAACCCTCGGAGCGTCATGTGAATGATCTTGTTCACCATATTGGAAATCCCCTATGTATGCAATGCAATCTAGAGGGCACATTTTCGATGTATTCGATGTATTCCGCTACTATTCAAGGAGTCATTGTTTGATATGTTGCTCCTGTTATTGCTGTTACCTTTTTGTCACATGTTATGCTCTGAACAGCCAAAGTTTTATTGGTTTGGCTGTTCTCTTAGGAAGCTCATTTGTTCTGGAAAGCATGCCCTATGCAAAGACAATATTGGAGCGGAAACCAAAACCTAAGGCCGCTTAGCATGACTATTAATGTAAATTGAAATACGTAGAGCTATCATTCAATGGAAATAGACATATTGATTCAACTCCTGGGCTTGGCATTCAAATGCGTGGTGACCCAGAAAGTTAATTTGGATGAGAGAAGAGTAGTGAAGTCATCCGTCAGATGACTCCCGCATTTCCAATTTTCTCATATATACAGTCAGACATGAGAAATTGTTGAATATCAAAACCATACACCGTGCATTTTCAATTGAAATTTCTCGTTTCATCATGTTCCCAAACCTACAGAGCTTGTCCGAAGAGGACGAATATAAGGATAACCCGGCACCTTCCGGCCGGCGGCGGTCGTCTGTGGTTCCACCTAGCCTACAGTTCCTCGTCGATCAGGACTCTCAGCAAGCTAGTAATGAGCCCGCTGAGTGGGAAAAGTCATGGGATCAAACGTATGTTTCATGTTTCGCTGAGAGGTGAGCCAATAGGTCTTCTAACCCCACCAGGACTGAAAACCCGGAGCTTTGTGATTTCTTGGATCGAGTCTCCTCTCGAGATCCAACTGATCCAGACCGACAATGTGGGGACAGAGTGAGAAGGGGTTCTTGAGCTCAGATCACGATCTCAGGAACTCAACGAATCATGTAATTTTGATGTTGTTGGGGCGTAATTGGGATTTCTATTCTCTAATTTTTTGAAATCTCCGACATAACAGATATTAGTTGACAACGTGATCATAATTGTCTTCCCTTCTAGAGTCCCAGCTGATTATTGCTAAGCTTCAAGCGTAAAAATTACTGTAGTCTGTAGCGGAAGATCGTTCTAGTCGAAGCACAGCTCAGAAGTGGACAATGCTCCTGAACTCGGAATACCCGAGTATCCATCGAGACACTTTGTGTAGAGATGCTAGTGGGTCGAACCGGAGGAAATGGCATGTTACAATAGTGATGGCATCACCACGTCAACGGATGTGGAAAGACTATAACCTACTAAGCTTCAGCTAGCCGAACACTCACCAATCGCCTTACATTTGACCCACAGCAAGTGGGCCATATCAGCCCATCAGAATCAGCCCATTTTTCATCCCTCCGATTAACAGCGATTCTGACGTCTGCCCCAGACACAGGGATATCATCTCCACCAGGTCTACAATTGGCTACCAGTGGGTCTGACTTTGAAATATCTCGCAATATGGCAGTTCCCTTTTCCTCTCTCTTCCACACATACACCGCAAATTTCACTCATTATTATTCAGGCACCGTGCCCTTCTAGCAGAGAATTCTGTTTGCCACAGACTTTTTCGATATAGACCGAACTGTCATCTGTGCCCTCTTTGTTATCGTTTCCCCTAAGGGAGTGCTTCGTAACTGCATAAGATGGACCGTCGCCTCACAATTGCATCGCAAGTCGCTGTCGCGGCAGTGGCTGGCTATTGCATTTACAAGGCCTTCAATGCCCGACAGCAACAACAATCCTTGAAGGATGCGGTGCCCAAGTCGTCTGCTGCTCCTCTGACACCAGAGCAGATCAAAATCATCAAGGCTACAGTCCCTGTTCTCCAGGAATATGGGACCAAAATCACCACTGCCTTCTACAAGAACATGTTGACAGCGCACCCTGAACTTAATGCCGTCTTCAACACCGCCAACCAGGTCAATGGCCACCAAGCTCGTGCGCTAGCTGGTGCACTGTTCGCATATGCATCTCACATCGACGATCTCGGGGCTCTCGGTCCTGCCGTTGAATTAATATGCAACAAGCATGCATCTCTGTACATCCAAGCTGACGAGTACAAGATTGTTGGCAAGTACCTCTTGGAAGCTATGAAGGAGGTGCTTGGAGATGCCTGCACCGATGATATTCTCGATGCCTGGGGTGCCGCTTACTGGGCTTTGGCCGACATCATGATCAACCGCGAAGCCGCACTGTACAAGCAGAGCCATGGCTGGACAAACTGGCGTCAATTCCGCATCGCCAAGAAGGTGCCCGAGTCGGACGAGATCACCTCGTTCTACTTGAAGCCAGTTGACGGCAAACCACTGCCGTCGTTCAGGCCAGGCCAATATATCTCGGTTAGTGTCCATGTTCCAGAGTTGAAGTACCCCCAAGCCCGCCAGTACTCGCTCAGTGATACCCCTCGCTCCGATTACTATCGCATCAGCGTGAAGAAGGAAACGGGACTCGATCCTCGTGCTCCGGGTGCCAAGAGACACCCTGGATACGTCTCTAACATTCTCCATGACATCATCAAGGAGGGTGATCAAATCGATGTATCTCATCCCTATGGAGACTTCTTCTTGTCCACTGCCGAAGCTACCCATCCGATTGTTCTTCTCTCCGCCGGTGTCGGTATCACGCCCATGATGTCCATCTTGAACACCATCACTCAGAAGAAGCAACGCAAGATCCACTTCATTCACGGATCCCGTACGACCGAGGCTCGCGCCTTCAACAGTCATGTTCGCAAACTGGAAAACGACATCCCGGATATGCAAGTGACCTATTTCCTCAGCAAGCCAGGTGGTAGTGACCAGCTGGGCGTTGATTACCACCACGCTGGAAGAATTGATCTGCAGAAGCTCGACGGGCCGTCTCATCTGTATCTAGACAACCCTGCTACGGAATATTACGTCTGTGGCCCCGACACATTCATGACGCAAATGGAGCAGGCGTTGAAGGCCTATGGTGTGAGCGATGACCGGGTAAAGATGGAGTTGTTTGGTACAGGCGGTGTTCCTCATAACTAGAACACTCTTCTATTCTTGCTTCTCTGTACTATACATTAGTTGAGATGTGGTGTTCATTTACGACATGTAAAAGATGGATTTTATAAGCAGAATTGATGCCCATAAAAGGAAAGTTTTTCACTTGTTTCTTTCTGTTAATCCACAAAGACACAATGTTTCTACTTCAATCTATATAAAAAGAAGAGGAGTAAGATGTCAAAATGTCAGGGACTCAGGGTTCACCCTAGACTGTAGGTAGCCCGAAACATAATCTCACCCTAAGAACAGCCTCCATCACGTCTCAGTGATCATCCGCCCCATCCATAATGACTTCATTCCAATCAGCATACGAACGGGCGCCTAAAGTAAAGCTCACCGATCTATCAGATATCCAATTACATGATATGGTGCCTCCCAAGGTGCTCTCAGTAACATTGTCAAGTTAGCTACAATATGCTTCGATCACCATGCAAGTACTACGTATTTCGGCAGTATGAAGTCATTGATAGATATTGAACAATAATGACACAGACGGCCATAGTATATTCCAAGGCAACGAAAATCACCATTTCACTGAACTATATGCGTAGCGAATATAGTTTCAGAGCCTGGAGCAACTAGATCCACTGGTTCTAGCGAGGATGCCGCGTTGATGACTGAATGGACGGCGCCTTCAAAGGGCGAGCTGAAATTCAGGCTAATTTGAGAATTATTTTCTCGTGGGCTTTTCTTATCAGGACTGTGACATATTATCATTGAGGGATCTGATTCGTTGACCAGGTTGCAAAACATTCAGCTATATAATGGCTTACGGCCGGCCTCGCTAACGTTGCCACTTTCCGAACCACCTAAAAATTTTTCCTTTAGCGGGATCTCGCTAGATTTTCCTTCTTCGCCCCGCCACGTTACGTACGCTGCCAAACACTATCATCTCCTGCACCAACAGTTCGATCTATCAAGCATTCTCCCCGGCTGGATGATTGCCTTCGGGCAGACATGCGCTCACACTTTGGCTGGTAAGGTGACAAACCATACCCACCCTTTTCCTTTTCTTTTCGCTTGTCAGTTTACATAGAATCCCGTCATAACAATATATTCAGTGTGACATGTAGACAACGTAAGGTAAAATGCAACGAGGAAAGGCCTATTTGCGGTCCATGTGCCAAGTCCTCCCGCGATTGTGTCTTCTCCGACTGCATATTCCGTCACTACAGTGCCAGCGATCTTGCTGCCAGTGAAAGGGGATATTCCTATCCGGAGGAAAGACAGACATGGGTCAAGTTACCATCTGATCGTAAGCTATACTCCCATTCTTCTAGTTATTGTCGAAGTATAGAAGGATATGCAGCTAGGGTGGATTGAATAGATGCTAAGATTTCTACAGTCATCTTTATCCAGGTTAAAGACCCTTTCGCTGACGATGAGGAGCCAATACTTCTCCTGGACAAGCATCGCTCAATTGCCAGTACACCGATAACTCCTATTACTGAGCATGGTGTGATTCCGAGTTCTATTCACAGTCCCGCCCTTCCTGCAGAGAATGGGGTTTTGACAACAATCTTGATACGGCATTTTAAAGAAGGCCCTAGTCAATGGTATCTCTACCCGTTCGACTGAAAGAGCGATGAACTGACAGTCCTGACAGGTTAGACTGCTTTGACACTAATGCCTACTACTCCGTCAAGGTGCCTGTCATGGTGGCTACGCGGCCCATGTTGAAGGCTGCTGCATGTGCCCTTGCCGCCAAACATCTGCACCGTATGTGCCAGGGAGAACCTCGTCGGATCTTGCGGTTACCCCATCTTCGAAACAGTGCCCTTAAATGGGCCAATGGAGGAATCGACCTAAAATATGAATCAGTACGCCTGTATGACGAGGCTATCGGATATTTGAAAGAAGCGATTAGACTAGAGATTCCGAACAATCGGCGAGACGAGATGTTCGCTGTTGTTGCCATTCTATGCATGTATGAGTTGATCGATGCTCCCAGCACCGAATGGCGAGCCCATCTAAGTGCCCTGCCATTCTTGTATTGCGGGACATCAGATGATTTCAGCTCGACATCCACGTTGCCAAACTCTCTACTGCACATATCTCGCTCGGTTTTTTGGAGCCTTGTGCGCCAGGACTGTCTTTCTGCATGTAGGTTAACCATTTACACTTCTATCGACTGCATCCTACGTTTAATCGGATACTTATCATGGAAACAGTTATCAATGAAACGCAAACTCGCCTCGACCTCTCCGACCTCGTCATTTGGCGCAACTTTGGCCTCAACATCTCCGCTCACGGCCATCTTTTGCCTCCATCTGTCTCCTCTACAATCGTGAACACTCCCATTTCCTCCTCTCCGAATCCTCATACTTCCGTCCCAACACACTGCACCTGGCTCGAGGAAGATACCCTCAGCAACGGCTTGATTTGGATAATGGGCAAAATTATCAACTTCATCACGAGCGGTGACGGAATCTACCCGGGAGACTATGAAAGCCCTCCAGGCCAGCGTCCATGTTTTGGCACTACACAAGAGGACCTCCTGGAACGATGGAAGCGACTAGAGTTTGAGCTGAGTGCCTGGTATGATACCTTACCGGATTCTTTCACCCCGTGTGGTCGTACACAACTATGTCTATCCAATCTTGAGCCGACACACCACAGAGGCAACCCCACCCCTACAGGAAACGTCGGAGATGTAGGTACAATCGACGCAATCATCTTCACTATCCCCATGTGTGCCGTCACCATCCAGACCTACCACATGGGCCGCGTTCTACTTTTGAGCAACATGCCACAGGAATCCACTGCTATTCGGTCAACTGTCACGGCGCGACTGCGTCATTATCGCCAGATCGCCGGGTTGGTGGTGTATCATGCGCGTGAGATCTGTGGGATTAGTTTAGCTGGCTTACCGGATGCGATACTTTCGCATACCATGCAGCCATTGTTCGTGGCCGGACAGTGCTTCGAGAAAGACGAGGAGAGGCGGTTAGTAGTCGATCTGCTGCGACGTGTGGAGAATGATACAGGATGGGCCACAGAGTATCGGGTGAAGGAGTTGCAGAAGCAATGGGCGGATGGGGGTTTGCGGTGTGGGAGATAGCCAAATCATTCCAATTGTAGTTTTAAGTGCACTTGCGGTGTATCTTAGATAGTATGGACATTGTGATTTCTTAGAAGCACAAATGTGATGCATCTGATGCAATTGGGCCTGCAGACATGATTCGACGCAGATAGCAAGATTATCATCACCGCATCCTATAGTACAAATAGTGGGGAGACCCTCCCACAATGAAGAAATTTTCCCGAGAAAAATCTAGACCTACTTATCCATCACTCCACTACGCTTCTTCCCGCGCGCCTCAACTCACAGGGCAGACAGATAATACCCGATGAAGTGGATCCAGCCATTTAACCACGAGGAAATCTTACCGAGAGTAATCTTTCCGAGCCGCCGATTCTCGCCTATCGCGGTTTATCGTGCTGACTGTCTTTGTAGATCACGACGCCTACAGACTTTTAGGGCCCACGAAGATGGTATAAATAAGGGAGTAGGATCTGAAGAAAATTATCTTCTGGTCAATAGATACTGTTATACACTTTAGATAACTCCCCTCGGCCTTGAGATAAACATGGCGCTGATACCTGGGCTATCTCGCTATGTCTGGGCTAGTATTCTATGCTCCATGGGGGGCTTTCTTTTCGGGTGTGTATATCCTGCGCTTGTCGCAAAATGTAGCTTCGCTGCTCTGTCACAAATTCGTTAACCATCATACATCTATGCAGGATGGACACCGGCATCATCGGCTCCGTGGTAGTGATGGACCAATTCAAGCAGAAATTCGGCTCCTTCTCATCCATCGTCCATGGTCTAGTAGTCTCGTCCATCCTGATCCCTGCGGCCTTTTCGTCGTTCTTCGGGGGGAAACTAGCCGACTGGATCGGACGACCTAGGAGCATCGCAATCGGTGCCCTTATTTTCGGTATCGGATGTGCCTTTGAAGCTGGTGCAGTGCATCTGGCCATGTTCATCGTTGGCCGTGTTGTCGAGGGTCTTGGCGAGGGTCTATACCTCGGGACCCTGGTAGTGTATGTCCCTCACCCCATCCTACTCTGCTACCTGCCAAACCAATATCTAATAAGCAACACAAGATACATCTGCGAAATCTCTCCACCAAGCCAACGAGGCCCGCTCACCACAGGCCCTCAACTCCTCGTCACAATGGGCCTCGTAGTCGGCTTCTTCACCTGCTACGGCTGCGAGAAAATGCCTTCATCTATGGCGTGGCGAACGCCATTCACCGTCCTGGCCTGCATTTCCATAGTCTTCAGTCTCGCTGCGTTCTTATGGCTAATTGATTCCCCACGATGGCTCACACTCCATAATCGCGTCGACGACGCCACTCGCGCTTGGGAATATCTGCAAGTAAGTGAGGCCGATCGCGGGGAACTCCTCGAAGAGGAAGAGGAAGTCGATGTTAATGAAGAGGCCTTGACGCATCCGCTCGCCCCGACGGGGAGTGTCCTTGCGCCGAATACCCTCGATCAGGTGGTTTCGCGCCATAGTCGCGTATCTACCCGCCGGACGAAGGGTAAGGGGATGGAAGAAGCCTCGCTGTTCGATGCATTCAAGCCCGATGTGCGCAGTCGCACGCTCCTTGGCTTGTTTCTCATGGGTATGCAGCAGATGGCTGGGATTGACGGAGTTTTATACGTACGTTCCACTTCTCCTGATTTACTATCTTGATCATCAATTAACGTACAAAAGTATGCCCCCATGCTCTTCGAACAAGCCGGCATGACCTCCTCCCAAGCCAGCTTCCTAGCCTCCGGCGTCTCCGGCCTAGTCATCTTCGTCGTGACAATCCCAGGCCTCATTTACGCCGATTCTTGGAGCCGGCGCGCCAACGTCATCCTCGGCGGTCTGGGACTCACCATCACCATGTTCGTGATCGGTTCATTGTACGCCGCCGATGCAGTGCACCATTCGACCGGCGCAGGTCGCTGGGTCGTGATCGTCGCGATTTATCTTTTCGCTGCTATTTATAGTGTTTCGTGGGGCGTGAGTTGCAAGGTCTACGCGGCGGAGATCCAGCCTCAGCGGACGAGAGCGAGCGCGACGTGTCTGGCGCATGGGAGTAACTGGGTGTCGAATTTCTTTGTTGCGCTGATTACGCCGGTCTTGTTGGCGAAGAGTAGTTGTGCAGCGTACTTTTTATTTGGGGGTTGTACGGCGCTGACGATTGTTGTTTGTGGGTTTTATATGCCCGAGACGAAGGGACGGTCGTTGGAGGAGGTGGAGAGGTGCTTTGTTAGAGGAAAGGAGGATTCATAGATTCGCTGGGTGGAGTGGGTAGATTGTAATGAGTGATGAGAAATGATAGATGATGGATATGTCAATAGAATGGCAGAGCTTGGTCCAGAGACAATGATGTCCTCCTTGATAATAAATATCGAATGGTTGTAATGCTAGTCCTTCAGCTTTGTCCGGTGATATGGCCATCATGCTTTCTCCTCATAAATCGAAAACAAATCCTTCATTATAACTCACTAAGTATTATTACATCATCTCATATAGTAACTACACATACGCAGCCACTAATTCCCAGTAGCTTTCGCATACATATCCCTCGTATGCTCCCACACCTTCTTACCCACTCCACTACTCAGATACCCCTTTACCAACTCAGACTTCGCCTTGACAATAGAACTATCGTAATCCACCCGATACGCACCACTTCCCCTCGCGCCATCAGTACCCACTGTATCCACCCCCTTCACTCGTGGCGCGAACAACGGACTCGTAGCCGCATACGCATGCCTCTCTCCGGACTCCTTGACAGAAATGAGCCCGATCGACGATAAAAGAGGTGTCAACACAAAAAGAGCATTAGTGAGTCCCCTGACAAGCGGGTTGAATTCTCGCGTGACGTTCGTGTTCACGGCGCCAGGACGGCTGTGAACCCAACTAATGTTCGGATGTGCCGCCGCAAGTTGCGCCATGTAGAGAGATGTCATGGTGCAGCCATGAGCGGCTGCATTGGAGAGACCGTAGTTGCTCCGAAGGTCGAGGTCATCTTCGATGAGTTTGCCCTCGTTTCCTGGGCTGAAGACAGAGACTACGCGGGCTAGGCGGTCTGATGAGGCGGCCTGGTTTAATAGTGGGAGGAGGTTGTCGGCGAAGCGCATTCTGGCGTAGTAGTGGAGGCTGAGCTTGCGGTCCAGGCCTTCGGGTGTTTCTATTTCATGTTGAGTTGGAGTGAAGGGATGGGTGAAGGGGAAGTACTCACCAGTCCTTCCCTGAGTGGTCAAAATACCCGCGCTCAGGAAGAGAAGGTTTACTTTTGACTCTTTTTGAGCGATCTCGCGACATGTTGTGTCGACGTTCTTGAGTAGAGATATATCACTCTTGATGAAGTCAACTGTTGCGGATTGGTTAACGGCACGTAGTTCTGAGATGATCTCCAATGCCTGAGCTTCGTTGCGTCCAATCAAGTAGATGTGAGGAGCTGTCGCGTAACGGGTAAATTCCCTCGCTGTCGATAGACCGATTCCGCTAGTTCCGCCCACTACTTATTGTTAGTTGGCGTCTAAGATAGCAAAGTCATGCACATACCGAACACAGCAACCAGACCTGAACCCAGGTTCTTGATATTGGGTAGCTGCCCGCGAACCTCTGAAATGGCAACCATGTTCTTAGTTATTTGTTGGGTTTGTGTCAAAGAGTGTAATACAACTGATGAGAGGGTTGCTTTGCTCTTAAATAAGCTGGTTGCGATGGTTTCTCAAGCCGTCAGTCCAGTTGGCTTGGTCGCGTTAAATAGCTGCGTGGGAGATGATTGTGGCTAACGTCAGCCACGGCCCGGCTGACCAGATCCGGCAGATGGCTGAAGTCAGCCACTGCGGAACCCTCACTATATTTGCTGTTATCCTGGAGAGGATCGTACAGTTTCCATGTTTGACATTTTACTTCTACTGTCAGGCTCTGCTGGTATTAGGCAATTGATCATCATGTCCAGGCCCACCCAGCGAGGTCAACGCTATCAGCTCAATATATATTTTGTCGACAGACTTGCCGAACATCCGTTATCGGCCGTTCAGTGCTTCTAGTACTTTTAGTTGTGTTCCAGCACAAGGCAAGGGATAAATTTCTACTACAATTAGTACAAAAGATCACGGAAAGTGGTCCAGCAACAATTTAAACCATCAATAAGATGCACGCGGATCACACTGTGATGTTGTGCATTGGTTGCCAAGTAGTCTTGATCGTGAGCATGTCTGTACACGGGTGTCACAACAGCATCAAATTCGGCTGAAAATGGTAGTTTATCAAGCTCATCGCGAGCGGGAGGAACTTATCATACGATAAGTCGGCTTGGCATGAGGGGTAGTCCGTACAATCGGCCGAGATGCGAGTGTAGATGGCATATAAATCCCGAGAGCTCCCTGCATGCAAATCCCGGACATCCTCATCAGTTTGAACATTCCGAGTTCCCACAACCCCGCTATGTCTTCTCAAGTACGCGTCGCAGTTACCCAGGCAGAGCCTGTCTGGCTAGACTTGGATGCGACCGTGAAAAAGACGTGTGATCTTATTGTGGAAGCAGCTGCGAATGGCGCTCAGTTGGTTGCTTTCCCCGAGTGTTGGATCCCGGGATATCCTGCCTGGATTTGGTGGGTACATGAACTGCACCGTGTGGAACGAATATAGAGACTGACAAATGATTATCGGTCTGCAAAGGACACGACCTGTTGACATGCGCCTGTCATCTACTTATATACAAAACTCCCTGAAGATCAATTCCCCGCAGATGGCCAGCATCCAGAAATGCGCAGCAGAGAATGAAATAATCGTCGTTTTGGGCTTTTCCGAGAACCTGCATAACTCCCTGTATATCTCGCAGGCTATTATTGGAAGTGATGGGAAGATCCTCACCACCCGCAAGAAAATCAAGCCCACTCACATGGAGCGGACCATTTTCGGTGACTCGTTTGGAGACTGTCTGCAGAGTGTAGTCGACACATCAGCCGGTCGCGTCGGTGCTCTTTCCTGCTGGGAGCACATCCAGCCTCTACTGAAATATCACACTTATGCCCAGAGGGAACAGATTCATGTCGCCGCATGGCCGCCTCTTTTCCCTCACAACGAAGACGGTTCCTTGTTTTCAATGTCCAGCGAGGGTATGGATGCCAACTGGACGAGGTACACAGATGCTAACAAGTCTCCTCTCAGGCACCAGTTCCATTGCGAGGACATATGCTATCGAAAGCCAGTCTTTTGTCCTTCATACCACGACAGTGATAGGCCAGTCGGGTATAGACCGAATGGCAACACATGGTGGTGCTCTGATGAGCACCCCTGGCGGAGGCTGCTCCGCCATCTTCGGGCCTGACGGCCGCCAATTATCGCAGCCCATTCCCAGCACAGAAGAGGGCCTTATTTACGCTGATCTCGACTTGGATCACATTTACCACTCCAAAGCCTTTGTGGATGTCTGTGGACACTATAGCCGACCGGACCTTCTGTGGCTGGGTGTGGAGGGCAGTGTTAAGCGCCATGTAAGGGAGAATGCAGCTACTGTGGCAGCAGAAGCGGAGCAGCAGGAGCAATAGAAGAACCTAAGTGTCAGAATGTCTCGGAGGATCAGGCTATCCTGATTTTCTGTACTGCTTGATAGCGGACTCCTGAGTAGCTGAGAGCAAGCCGGAAACACACTCTTAATGTCCGCTCTGCACCGGTAGATAGCGAAAGTTCAACCACTCATGATGTATCGCATAAAAGGAATAAATGCTGATTATCAGTGGGAAAAACTTGCATTGTTCCTGACAGCCACTTCTGATTGGCCGTTTCCCAGGTCTACCGGAGTCTCAATCCTCTGAATGCTAGTTACTGATCACTCGGTAATAATGATTACAAATGATAATATTTCATAGTTTTTATTCCCTCCTACGGCTACCTTTCTAAGTCCTCTGGTCATTGGTCTAACAACATCAGTTACATGCCAAAGGATTGGAACCCAAGGAGTGAGCCCGACATGCTTACTGGGTACCTAGATATCTGCTTGCAATTTGGAAGGACTGAGTTTATCCAATGAAACTTCGCGGTTATAACTACTGCATAAATCCTTTTGGCTGTGCGCTCCAGCCTCTACCACAGCAAAATATACTTGCTTTTGGTTGGAAAAGGCCCCTGACCGGCATCCGATGGAACTTCTCTGATTCGTTGAGTGGATGATACGGCTCTCCAACTTGGGTAGTCACAGACAAGGATCTATAGCCTCGCAGTGCACTGATAAGGCTCTCTCAGCCTTGCTGGTCTCTCCTTAAATCTCTTGCTTACCTCCACCCTGCTACTGAGGTGTTACACCCATCAATAACTTTCTGTACTGACGCTTCAGAATGCCACTCAGCGACGCTGACCAGCGACAATATCCCGCATACGAGCCACTACATAATGAGTGCGATGACCCCGATATATTATCGAGTATTACTGATGCCGAGACGAGGCAAGATCTTGAAGGGCACGAAGATGTGGGGTTACATGCTGTATCGCCTTCGAACACGCCAGATGAGAATGGTGAGTCAAACTCCGATACGACCTCGCACTCCCCGACGTTAGGAGAGCCTTCCAACTACAAAGACGAGAAGCCGAATGGCCCTGAAACAGTCTCAGTCAGGCGCTATACATCTAGCTGGTTTTACTGGGAACTTACAGGCATCATTGTTTCAGCGGCTCTCCTAGCTGCGATAATCATCATACTGAAGGTTTACGATCATCAACCTCAACCGAAATGGTGGCACATCTCCCTAAATTCGGTCATCTCTTTTCTCAGTACACTTCTAGAGCCAGTCTTATGTTTTCTGTCGGGGAGTTGATAGGACAGCTCAAGTGGGATTGGTTTGCTCAGCAGGAGCAACCTTTGTCACATCTGCAGTCTTTTGACTCAGCCAGCCGGGGTGCTTTGGGGAGTCTAACATTGATATGGGCCTTGCGTGTCCAGCGTTTCGCAGGGGTTGGTGCTTTGGCCATGGTTCTCGCCTTGGGTTTTGATCCCCTTTCGCAACTCCTAATACATACCTATGACAAGCTAGTTGTAGACCCATCAGGGACTGCACTGATCGGTAATGCTACCGTATACGACACCATAGGGCAATTAGCGTATGATAAGGGTATGTATATGAAGTAACATCCCCATCTACTTGGACAATGTGGCAGGGAGTACTAACGACAATATACAGGAACATCAGTTGCATACGTCGACCCTGTTCTGAAGGGAAATGTCTACAATTCGCTCTTCAACACGGATCCAACCCGGCCGTGGGCCATTCCGCAATACTCCTGCTCCTTAACCAACTGTACCTGGGATGCGATCGCTTCGCTCGAGATGCGGTCTCTTTGCAGCAACATCACTAGTGCACTAATAACCAACTGTTCTACCTTTTCCAATGAATCAGTATACGCGGAAAAGAGCAACTGCAATGTCACGCTACCAAAAGGCGGGCTCTCGGCCTCGTATACGCCAGGTGACTTCTCGTTCACTACTTTCTCAATGAACTCAATCTTGGGTTACGATGCGGTGGTTTATACCAATGCTACATAAATTGCAATTCAATACATAGCCCCTCGGGCCAATCTGGAGCTGCTCGACGATAAACGCTGGTCGAATAGCACGCAGTGGGAAGCCACCGAGTGTTCCCTGGAGCCCATCGTGCGCAGCTTTCGTCCTAAAATCTTCCATAACCACTACAGTGATAAGACGCAGGCGATCTGGATTCAGCATAATATGACTACAACGTACAATGTGCATCAGTCTGCAGGTTTTAATTTCACCCCGGAATCATGGGGCCCTGATCTTGGTGTGCACCAAAACCCGCAATCTTTCATAGTGGTGATGCCAGAAAATCGATATTTTACTTCCTAACCGCCATCTTCTCGGGTCAGGCGACGAGGTCCGCGACGGGAATATTTTTCGACCCGCTGGATTCTAGCTGGTATGCTGCTTCCGACACGCTCCAGGCGCTGGCCGTGGCAAATATTAGTGGGTGCAGCGAGATTCTTTCCGAACGGCTGTCCTGCGCGATGGATAATGTGGCTGCTGCCATGTCAAAAACCTTCCGGGATGCGGCTTACGTTGCTGATCCCGCATCGGCCGCCATGACGACGGGGAGTGCAAAAGTCAGTGAAGTCTATATTGTCGTGTACTGGGCCTATCTGGCCTTACCAGTCCTTGTCTGGACTTTGGGGGCCATCTTGGTGTCGGTACGCTCTGGAAGACTCGCCGCGCCCGTGTTCCCGTTTGGAAAAATGATACGCTGCCGTTGCTGTTTCTATATCGGAATCAAGACGAGGGCATGGAGTTGCCGCAGGGAAGCGAGACTGAACAAGCAAGCCGTCATGAGTTGGTACGGTTGTATAATGACGAAAGTCGAATGTTTCTTGGTCGGTGTACGGATAGCAAGTCCCAGCGTCCTTAAGTGGCTGCTGCCCTTTCTCTGACCAGGCTTTAACTATCAATGAGCTCAGTTTACTCGACACATGAACACTACCTATTGTGAGGCTGATTCCTTCTACTATCAATCACATATAATATGATCTGTCTATAAACATAGCTCGTAATCTACGTGTTCAAAGGGCCGTGCTCAATCTTGAGCAATTGCCACAAACTCCTAGATACTTTGCGTGGCTTTCGTGAAGAAACCCCATTCCCCAATATACAGAATATCACTTCAACCTCGACTTTTATGATGTAGCTACAAACAATTGAATAAATAATTCTTCACCTGCCATTCCAGTGATATGAAGCTAATATGTAGAATACTGGAGAGTAAGATCCACTATGTCAATACTAGATTTGTGAATATGCTACTCGTATCATATCCCCGAACATCAATCTATCATGAAAGGATGTATGAAGATCGCCTCATCACCAGCTCAAGCGTGCCCTGGTGTGAATGCATTAACGACTAAGACAAAGTAGCTCCCTTCATCCAGCAAGATCACCTGCACAGTGCATAAGCAACATTGAATCGCGTTGTCGCTGCCTAGACCCGCCGGGGCAGGTATAAAAGCCCTCGACCTCCAGCCCTTTTGCATATCCCTTCTCCTTCTATTCACACGCTCTCACAAGATCTACTAGCAAATCCACTCCAAGTTACCTAAATAAAGTATGGAGGAAATGATCACCTTGTTCTGTGTCATATCTCTGAAGTCCAGTCGAAATTAATACTGACGAGATGGGGTCAGAAAGAGAGAGAGTACAGATTATATACGGTTCATGAATAGCCTCACCCTGATTCCGTGGCGGTACTGCTACAGCCCGACGCCACCCTCCTCTCCGCGCTGTTCCCGTGAAACCTCGCTTTACTTGGTTTTCAAACCTGTTCTAGGGCAGCTATTTAGAAGGTTGAACTACAAGGATAACAGTGGGCATTCCAGATAATCTACATTCTCTACAGTGAGACTTCGATATTGTGCCCCCAGTTTGGAACGGTTGGACGTCTGCAAAAAGCCGCGGCGAGGAGTATAAGAATAGACGACAATCGCAGGGTAACGGCTCATAGAACGAACTCGACGAGGGAAACGATGATAATCTAAATCATGATCATCCAGCAGCGATTTACTCATACAGTGCAATCAGAAAGTACATACGAAGGATCGTTCCTATTGGACAAGAACACCATTGAACCTACGACCACTTTCGATTGATCATATATCCAGTACTTTCATGTTGTACAGACATATTCACAAAGTCACGACTCAGCTGGCACTGCACTGCATATTATTCTGCACGCCTCGATCATGGAAGGCAATAGGATGTCGTGTTCTATTTCCTGACAGTGGATGGAGGATCGCGGCAGCGAGTTGCAGGTATAGCGGCTTCGCAATGCCCCTCTCCCTTGCTAAACATAAGGCATCCGGGTCTAGTACCCTATCACAAGGTGTAGGGATCGGGGAGCCCTGATACTACGATGGCACCAATGTCTTATCGGTTCCGAAAATATCAATATCACCTGAAAATTCGATACCAACCACTAATGCGAGATTTGGCCGATTTGTACTTCTAGTACGCCCAGATACACAAAGTCTCGGTATGAAGTCGGAGATAACAGCGCTATTCAACAAAGAGAATGCTCCAAGCTTCATAGTCATTCACCCGGGTAGTTGAGAATGTTCGCGTCAAACCGGGCCTTTCAAAACCTGCGCGGTATTCTTCGCCTATGCGATGATCCGCCTGCAAATCTATTTCTATAGCTTTGAGAACTGTTACTCTACTCCGCTAGCATTTTCTTAATTGGAATTAGCATTACCAACATTGATGCGAAGCTCAATTAACATATATACAACATGCGTCTCAATATCCGTTCACCTATTTACTCCCACCACCCAGTTCAGCTTAACAATATCAGTGTTATGGCCGTTGTTACTTCCCGACAGGAAATTCAAGGGGAGGAACGAGATCAAAAATATCCACTCATAACAGGATTAACTCTAGGTCTGAGCATAAAGTAATAGACATATTCATCAGCCGTTACATTTCCACAGTTGCCAACAACAATCATAAAACGGAAGCTCAAAGAAGACCCGCAAGACCGACATCGTTACCACCGCCGACGATGAAGGGATAATTACTGGCTCATTCTGCATGCTTCCGCTGAAAGAAGTGGTGGTTCACTAGCTACCGCCACTGTGGGCAACATTCTCACAGTTAGTATCAGAAGTTCCTTATACTTCTTTTGCCTTCCTCTCGGAATAGGCAAAAATGGAACTGCAGATAGACTCTTCCAGTGGCATCACTCACTCGTCTGAATCTTTCGTCTCTGGCGGCTTTCGTTGAGGAACTCCACATGTTCAATGCCTAAGAGGAGCAGGATACAAGAGTTTGGCTTCAAACCCTCTCCAAAATAGCCCCTGCCCGTCACAGCAGCTATGTTCGTTTCGCCCCCAATAAGAAATCCCCCGATAATGCTCCCCGCGTGCTATTCCCCATCCAAAGAAAGGCCAAAAATCGGTTAGCAGAATTGGCGGCTGCGTTTCTCTGCCTGCCTGTTGCATCGGTCACGAATATCGTCCACGATGATGACTTACGGGGCATCTAGCTTCTTGCTAGCATCGGCTGCAGCTCTAGCTTGCTGGTGTATAAGATTCTATGTCTGCTATGATTACTCTATGAACAACAAACAGATGATACAGATATTCGCGTTCAATGCAATGCACTTTGGTAGATGCAGACTCGATCGGTGCTTCGTTGTTCCCAATACACAAAATGATAATGAGGGAGCAAATCAATACCGCTGAAGCCCGTATACAGCGCATCGCAGAGCAAGCGACAGGATCGAAGATCGATCGGAGAAGCATTGTGTTTTTGCAGACTCTGCAGGCCACTGTACACAATCGATGAATGAATGTAACAGAAATTCGCCTCAGGAAGATGACAATTGCATTCATCTCAAACTGTCTATCGAAGCTGTTTCTTACGTTTGGGTGACAAGCTCCCGTTGGCGGTGATATATCAGGCTTAGAGTAGGAGAAGGAGTGTGCGGGACTGCTGAACTGCTTACCACAATGTTTCTTTTGGAGAAGAACTTATTCATAATAAACTGTCGAATAGGCCTCAGAAGTATCAAGAATCATGCAAGCTGACTCGCTAGTTGGATTATTCATATAGTCAGATGAACAAGATTACTATATCATTTGATAATACAGACATACTTTCCACTATATTCTAACAGTGCCACGTAGATCAAACAACCAGTAATCTCATTTATTCCTCTACCCCGGCACTAGGCCACAATATAAAAAATCAACCAACCTATATATCCTTCCGCGCATGCCGACTATACCTCTTCCTCAACGTCTCCCCGTACTACATACCACATCAGTTAGTCCGATCCCCACACCTCCCTCCCCATGGAATGGAAAAGAAAACTCACCTTCATCAACACAACCGGGATGGGAATAAACGCACAGCCCAAAAACGCCAACGTCGAACTCGCCCACCCCACCCCCAGGTTCTTATACATCGCCGTCGCGAACAGCGGAAACCCGGCACCAAACGCACTCCGAAACAAATCATTCCCAGCGAGCACACTCGCCGCATACTCCGGGTACGCATCGGAGAGATAATTCAGCACCGGATTGAAAAGCAGGAACGCACCGACGGAGAAGAATCCACTGCCTACAATCGGCATGATCCAATGAATAGAGGGCCGGGCACTCCACCCAAACCAGAATAGACAGATAGGAATGAAGAACCCGCCTACAATAGCGGGCGGGAGACGCGCCTCCGGGGGAACATTTCCTGTTTCAGGATCGAATTTTGGTTCGAGGTATTTGTGCATCCACCAGTAATATGGAGGGATTGTTATCAGGGCGCCGGTTAGGATGCCGATGTATGCTAGACCTTGCTGGCCGAGGTTGAAGCCGTAGATGCCTGCGAAGACGATGTTGAAGGATTCGAACCATACGTAGAGGAGACCGTAGATTAGGGCGATGTATAGGTTCAGGAGGAAGACCATTGGTTCGGTGAAGTTGAGCGTGAAGGGCCGGACGAGCGTCATCATGGCGAGTTCGCGCGCTGTGAGATGTTCGCTGGCGAGTTCGGGTTCGCTGCGTAGGTTGTGTCGGTTGGTCAGCTTGCGGAGACGGCGGGCGCGCCGGTACAGGATGTTGCTGGAGGAGGTCTCTGGAAGGAAGATTATTAGTATGACTAGTGTGAATCCTGATAGCCACATTAGCTCCCAGATCGTCCAGCGCCAGCCTTTGGCTTGGGCGGCGAATCCGCCGACTAGGGGGCCGAGCACGGGGCCGCAGATGGCGCTGATACCCCAGATGCCGATTCCGTAGGCGCGTTTACGAGGGGCGAACATGTCGGAGAGGGTGGCGCCGCCCTGGATGCTGTTAGTGCAGGATAGTGAATTGAGGGGAAGGCGAGGGGTACTGTTGCAAGAGCAGGCGATCCAAAGAAGCCAGTCAGGAAGCGAAAGGCTAGTAGTGTGCCGAGGTTTCCGGCCAATGCGACTGGGACTTGCAGGGCAACGAATACTATTAGTGTCGCGATGTAGACGGAGTTGCGCCCGATCTGGGGCACCTCGCTCATGGGTGACCATAACAGCGGGCCCAGTCCGTAGCCAGCCACGAACAGGGTCAGTCCCAATGTAGCCGCGACTTGGCTGATTTGGAACTCGGACATAACTGATTCGATACCGGCGCTGTAGATGGCGCTGCCGATATAAACGCTGAAGGTGAGGAGGCAGATCTCGAAGGTCACCACGACTTTCTTCCATAGCGGCCAGTGTTGGGGGTTCTGATGAGTTAGCTTTCGCTCAACATAGAACAGTATATTCCTACCTCCGGGTCACGATCACTCCACCAGTCGACGATGGTCACGTCGCGTCCCTTTTCTGGGTCGATGACGGCCCCAGTGATGCCTTGATACCGGCGGCCATTATGCGACCATGCCGTGGAGGGCACCCTCGTCATGGACTCGGTGTCGGCCGCGCTGAAGCGCTCAGGCGGTTCCTCATCGGCGTCGGGACGACCAGAGTAAGCCATACGGCCCGATTTGTTGAGGTTGACGTACTGCTGCCATAGCGAGGGGTCTTTTTGCTCCTCGAACCGGAAGTACCGGCCGCGCGAGACGAGGCGGATAAATTGGCCGAGGATGGAATCTTGGATGAGGCAGGACATTCTACCTATACTATTTTCTATCGACGGGTATACATAGTTATGGTCTACTGGGATGAATTTTATAGGCATGAACCCTGCTCGGTAACTGGTTTGGTTCCTGAATCAAACAAGCAAGATGGATGATGATGTAGCCATGATCACACTCGCCACCGGTAGTCAGCCAGACTCAATTCTGGTCTCGATGCTGCAATCGCAAACTCAGATCAATCAAATAGGTCTGGAACATTTCACTATCTGCAGAATAATCATCAATTACCTGTCAAATCCCCATGTTATCACTCTTCTGATGATAGAATGTGGACGGAGAAAAGATTATGATGCTGATCCCACGGGTCTCACCTGCAGGTGGGGTAGGGTTAGGTTAGGCTGGAACCCCAGTACCAGTAGGAGAGTAAGAGATATCTCATTACTAAATCACAGCTCTGGAACCCGACGATCTTTTACCAAAAACTCCTTGCGACCGAGGCAATTGGCGCTGCACCCCGGATTGAGAGACAGCTGATCGATCGTGCCCAGCAACGTCATGTATCCCCCACCCATCGGCTTTGACCGACCAGCAGGATGAGCCAACCACCTGCTTTCTTAGTGCCCTATTAGTGTTGATTAGACCCTGCGCGAGGGACCCCCTTGGCTGAACCCCCCGCATGACCCCAAAATCTCACGCCGCGTGGCTCCCATCGAACATTCATTTCCTTTCCCTAGGAAGCCATATCCCGTGCCTGCCAGCGCTGATTCCATCTCCGGTCTCCCGCCTGCCAAGACTACCCCGAAGCCTTTCACTCGCATCTCGACGGCCTGCTTCCGTTAGTCCTGAACGGAAGTTGACCGAGCCTCGTCCCCAGATTGTCGGTCTGTCCCACCTGGACTCTCAGGACCGGGTCTGGGGGGTGGCACGAAGAGGCTCGATCCCCGGATTGTCCCCCGCAGCCAAGGCGCTCCGTCCCACAACAAACCCAGCGCGTTGTCGGATCTTTGTTGCTTTCCAGCTCGCCAAGCTGTCCAGCATGTCAAGCGGTGATAAGCTCGTCGCGACAAGTCGGATTCCAACGTGGGATGTCTCCCTGGTGGATCTCGTTCCCTGCGCGATCCATTGGCTGCTCTCTGCCCGATTCTTCCCCGCATGATCACATTCGTCGTAGTGAATTCCCTCCCCGGCTGGTTTGTCCTACCTCACCATGAAGAGGTGCCGTTCCGACTGGCTGTCGGTAACCGACGTAGTTCTGATGGGGGTGACTGTTATAAATGTCCCTCCTCCCTTGCAGAGGCCAGCTGGTTCAAAAACCCGTTGTGGCTCGTCCAACCTTTCTCCCGTTGACTGTGTACAATCATGGCGGGTTCCAAGAAGCCAGTTAACATTTTTCGTTTGCGCAATCTCGCTGACCCCAAGGAGGTCTTCAACTGGAGACTATGGTTTGCCGTGCTCTCCTTTGGCCTCATGGGCGCTGCCCGTGGTGTCGACGAGGGGTTGATCTCGGGTGCCTTTAACTCCAAGGACTTTCAGCGCACGATCCATTTGGACTCGTACAGTGAGGTGGAACAGACCAACATCAAGGCGAATGTGTCTGCCATGGTGCAGATTGGTTCTGTGGGAGGGGCACTCTTGTACGCCCTTCACCACTATGATCCGTCAAGTCCGTCTGCTGACTCTGTTCTAGTGCATTCCTTGTGTGCGACCGTATTGGACGGCTGTGGGCAACTCGCCAGCTGTGTGTCCTTTGGATTCTGGGAATAGCCATCTTCATGGGTGTTGGTGCCAACGGTAGCTTGGGTGCTGTCTACGCCGGTCGCTTCGTGGCCGGACTGGGGGTGGGCCAGACTGTAGTCGTTGGACCAGTCTACCTGGCTGAGATCGTGAGTGACACATCTTATTCCCCGTCGAACTGAATTGACCAGCAATAGGCACCTGCTTCCGTCCGCGGTCTCTGCACTTGTGTTTTCACTGGCTTTGTCTACCTGGGTATTGTGCTCGCCTACTTCACCAACTATGGCTGCCAATTGCATATGGGCGACCACACCCACAAGCGATGGGTAAGACATCATTCACCTTATCCATGGCAGACTACTAACCCTACGTAGGAAGTTCCAACTAGTCTTCACATTATGTTCGCCGGCCTCATCTTCCTCCTATCCTTCGTGCAATATGAATCGCCTCGCTTCCTCGTCAAGAAAGGCAAGCCCGAAGAAGCGTTGAACAACCTTGCCCGTCTCCGCAACCTCCCTCCGGACCATGAATACGTTGTGGAGGAGTTCACAGGTATCCAGAATGCCCATCAAGCGGAGATGGAGGCTACCATGGGCGCTGGGTGGTTAGGTATTGTCAAGGAGGCCATCATGGTTCCGAGCAACTTGTACCGACTGTACCTCGCCGCCATGGCGCAGCTACTCTCCCAATGGTCCGGAGCGGGATCCATCACGCTGTACGCACCAGATCTGTTCAGTCTCCTTGGCATCACGGGTTCCAACGAGTCCCTGCTAGTGACAGCAGTGTTCGGTATCGTCAAGCTGACTGCTGCGGTGATCTGCGCTCTGTTCCTGGTGGATGTTATTGGTCGCAAACGTGCCCTACTCCTAGGTATCACGCTGCAGGCTATCTCCATGATCTACGTCGCTAGCTTCCTCACTTCTGTGCCGGAAATGGGCATCGTCGATGACTTTGTCCTGCCCGAGTCAAAGAGGGGCAGTAGTCGCGGAGCCATTGCTATGATCTACATCTCCGGTGTAGGCTGGGCATTGGGCTGGAACTCCATGCAGTACCTGTTGACAGCGGAGCTGTTCCCGCTACGCATCCGCGCATTGGCTACCTCTGCTGCCATGACACTGCATTTTGTCAATCAGTATGGTAATTCCCGAGCGGTGCCAAACATGTTGCTGGGTACTGGGGAAGGTGGCATCACCCCCAAGGGCACATTCTGGTTCTTCTCAGCTGTGACGGTGCTGGGTGGACTGTGGGTGTGGTTCAGTGTGCCCGAGACAGCGGGACGAAGCTTGGAGAGTATGGACCGATTGTTCGCATTGCCATGGTATCAAATCGGACGGCATGGCAACCGTGATGCCGACCAGCAGGACCAGGTGGTGGCGGATAAACAGCAGCAGGTGGAGGATGGATTCGGAGGAGCGGAGCATCGCGAGCGGGTGTAACTGTTGCTTGATATGTCACTTAGCTAGGAGCTTGATCTATATGAAACTAAATGCAATTGACGAAGCACATTGGCCACATGGATCCCCTGTAATGGAAGCAATAGCTGACCGCTTGTGCATCCCCAATGTGCATCTCAGCCCGCCAACTGGCGTGTCGGAGAGCTCCGATGTTATCTATGATTGGCTGGCAGCCCCGCTGGCCCGGTCAGATGACAAGCACTGTGTCATCCCTATCTCAACTGTTCAGCTTCTTCTGCTCCCTCCTTGCATGGTTATTTTCCTTTCTTATTTACTCTGTTCCATTCTCATTCATTCATTGACAGGTTTTAAATATCTTGTCGATCCCCCTCTCGTTCGTGGTTGTGCCATTGATCTCCCTCACCGCCGATACAAAAGGACAGCTTCCAGCTTTAAGCTTCCCCTCACGATGACTACCCGCTATCGTGTTGAATGTAAGTTGAATTGTCCTTTCAGATTCCATCGACTCATCTAATTACTCTCCCAGATGCTCTCAAGGTAGGCAGTCATCTCTGCTGCCAGTTCATGCTAACTCGCTCAGTCTCACCGTCGAGACCAATTGGTATGCCCCCATTCCTAGTAGCAATGAGACGTGGATAGCTCACATGTTCCTAGATTGAATGGATCAAAGTACGACTCTTGCCACCATTAATTCAAATACCTCAATACTGAACAATGTAGGGCCTTCTGGCCGTCCCCTTCGTGCTGCACTCGCAGCCCACCGCCGTCTACAAGGAACACAGTGAGAACCTGATCGCCGTAGCGGCCGACACGCACCAGCGCTATGCGGAGATCTTCCGCGACGTGGAGATGCTCATCCGCGACCACAGTAGCCTTCCCCTTCTTTCTTTATACATGGACACAATCACAACTGACAATCACAACAGTAACCCACCAAGAAGACGACGCCCCAGGGAAATCCAAACTCAAACTCCTAGTCCCCACCGTAGGCACCTTCTTCACCCCCTTATACCTGGTCGATGCCTTCCGCCACCAAGACGCCCAACGCTTCATCAGCCGCCGACGCTTCGTGGCCCCTTCTTTCAACGACATCCGTCTCATTCTCAACTCAGCCCAACTCCTCGGTCTGGCCCGCACCACCGGCGTCGACCTCGTCACCTTCGACGGAGATGTCACTCTCTACGACGACGGCGCCTGTCTCACAGACGACAACCCCGTGATCCTGCGCATTATGCGCCTCCTCCTGCAAGGACAGAAGGTCGGCATCGTCACCGCGGCGGGCTACACCGACGCCGCAAAGTACTACGAGCGACTCAAGGGACTGCTCGATGCGATGTACGAGTCAACCGAAATGACGGACGCTCAGCGCGCCGGACTGGTCGTCATGGGCGGCGAGAGCAACTTTCTCTTCCGGTATGACCATGCCTCCCCCTCGAAGTTGAGTTATGTCCCCCGTGAGGAATGGTTATTGGAGGAGATGAAGACGTGGCAGGAGGGGGATATCACGCAGCTATTGGATATCGCCGAGTCATCGTTGCGCGCGTGCGCGAGTAATTTGAATCTGCCGGTCGCGGTGTTGCGCAAGGATCGCGCGGTCGGGGTATATCCCACGGAGAGAGGGCGGATTAGTCGCGAGCAGTTGGAGGAGACGGTGTTGGTGGTGCAGAATACCGTCGAGCGGTCGGAGGTGGGGGCTAGATTGCCCTTTTGTGCTTTTAACGGTATACTTTCCCCCCTCTACTTTTGATGTAGGTGATGGTTATGCTGACGCCTATTTAGGCGGCAATGATGTGTTTGTGGATATTGGTGACAAGTCATGGGGTGTGCGCGCGTGTCAGCGCTACTTTGGGGGGATTGAGCCGGCGAGGACACTGCATGTTGGCGATCAGTTCTTGTCGGCGGGAGCGAATGATTTCAAGGTAGCCCCAATACCTTATAATGAAAGACAAGGTGGATGCTAATAATAACAGGCCCGGCTGGCATCGACGACAGCGTGGATCGCAAGTCCCGCCGAGACAGTGCAGCTCCTGGACGAGCTGCAAGGGATATAGCTAGGGTAATTATTAATCACTCACCTAAATTTATGTGAGAGTAGGAATATAGGTAGTTAATCTTACTCCATCGGCACCATACCGATACTTAATTGAGTGGTGCAGATCGGCACGGCGCTTATCAAGCAGCGGGAATGTCTGACAAACTCTCAAAGTATAAGAATCCACTAGCCAGTAGCCACTACGTACTACTTTAATCTACTTTAATCCTATTTATTTACATCCCACCACACCAACTACCTAAGAACTGGTATACCACCACAATGACCTCCCAACCTGACACAATAACAATCCCCATCATCGGCGCCTCCATCGCCGGCCTCACCACCGCCCACTCCCTCCTCTCGCACTTCACCACAACCAACAATACTACTACCAACAAGGGCAAGGGCACAAAAATCAAAATCCTCCTCATCAACCCTCACCCATCCTTCTACTGGGCCATCGCGGCCCCACGCATCCTCACCAAACCACCTGCGTTCACAGAGTCACAATACCTCATCCCGATCGCCGATGGGTTTGCAAAATACTCTCCGGATGTCTTCGAATTCATCCTAGGACGGGCGACATCGCTCGATTTTGACAAAAAGTTACTAAATGTTGAGGAAGTCACTACTGACACTGAGAGTACTAAAAAGACAACAATGAGAGAAATCAAATACGATTATTTGGTTATCGCGTCGGGGAGTACACCCTCTGCTTCTTCTACGGAACCATTATTCCCCGGTGAGGATGGTAAAAATGGCGAGATATATCCCTTCAAACTATCCCCCACATCCAGCACCACCATCACGGAGGCGATCAAATCTGCCCAGACCGCCATCTCCACCGCAAAAAGAATCACAGTCATTGGTGCTGGCCCTATTGGGGTAGAAATCGCGGGTGAACTAGGTGATCTCATCACCCCCTCTTCTTCTTCTTCTTCCTCCGAAGGAGAAGACAAAAAAGAAATAACCCTCATCTCCTCCACCCCACGCATTCTCCCTACCCTGAAACCCTCTGCCAGCGAAACAGCCACATCCCTCCTCACTAATAAAGGCGTGCGAGTCCTCACAGATCGGAAGGTCATTTCTGTCTCTTCTAAAGAAGAAGAAGAAGGGGGTTATGAACTCAAACTTAACAACGGGGACACTCTCAAGACGGATATCTACATCCCAACTATCGGAGTCCTGCCGAATAGTTCTTATATACCCCGGGAAGTGCTCGATGAGCGTGGTTGGGTGAGGGTCGATTCGGAATTGAAAGTGTCCGGCGTCGAGGGGGTGTATGCGGCGGGAGATATTACCACTCATACGCAAAAGTTGTCCTTTAAGGCGGATGAGATGGCTGGAGTGGTGGTGGGGAATTTGGTGGATGATATTGGTAATATTCATGGTGTTGGGAAGGGGGGTAAGGGGAGGGGATGGTGGAGATGTGGTGGGGGGAGGAAGACGTATGATGAAGGTAACGATGTGATGATGGTGGTTCCTGTGGGAACTTCTGGCGGTACAGGGCAGGCGTTTGGGTGGGTGTTGGTGAGTTTTATGGTGTGGTTGGCTAAGGGGAGGGATTATTTTATTTGGAAGGCGAAGGGGTATGTGTTTAAATAGACTACTACCTTTACTGTGTGTGTACTGCCATCATGTTATTGTACTGTACTTAATTCGGTATGCTCATAACCTTTCATCATCATAGCCTGACTCTATCGTCTAGGCGTTTATCGCTGCTTGCTGCTTACTGCGCTAAACATTCTCGTAGCAACTCCACGTCGCATTGTTCACACTCGCCCGGCCAGACAAAATGTTCACAGTGTCCTGCAACTCCAGCCAGAACTCCGTCTTGGGCCGGCGGCGCGCCCAGTCCGTCTCGGTCGCTTCCAGTCCGTTCGCTCCGCCCATCGGCGAGAACAACACCTGCGAGCCCTTGATGCCAATGACCGATGCAGACAGCTCATCGGCCGCAATCTCATCCGCAGACTTGCCCGCATAGCTCTCCAGGTGCAGCATACACTTGGTGGCCATCCGCAGCGCCCGGATACGGTCCATCGGCGACGGCTTGCCACCCTGCTGGAAGTGTCCCGGCACCGCCGCACGGCTCTCAAAGCGTCCCTTGGCCTCCTCCTTGATCATGTCGGCGACCACTTGCGTCGTGTACGTGCTGGACGCGCACTCGTTGCGCAGGATGATCTTACCCGCGCGGTTCGCTCCCTTGTCGCGCGCAAAGTTGTCGCGCAGGAAGTCAATGTCGCGGGCCAGCATCTTAATGTCGATGCCCTCCTCGGGAATGTACACGGCCACCGCGCCCACGGACAGACCAGCCGTCGTGGCGATGTAACCCGACTTGCCACCCTGCGTCTCGATGACGAACACACGGCGACGAGAAGACGAGGCCGACTGGCGGATGGCGTCGCAAAAGTCGATGAGTGTGTTAAGGCAGGTGTCGCTACCCAGCGAGTATTCTGTGCCCGGCACGTTGTTGGAAATAGTTGCCGGCAGCACGGTCATGGGGATCTTGAACTCGGGGTACTTCTCGCGCGCCTGGCGAAGCTGGCTGACGGCAGTGAACGCCTCGAATCCACCCACCACGAACAGCGCATCAAAGCCAAATTTCTTGAAGCTCTTGGCTGTCGTCGCGAGGTCATCGCCGGGCAGACCACGGTTGGTACCGATATCCGAACCACCCTCGTTGACCCAGCTGTCCGATTCCTGCCACGCCACCTCGCGCACAGAGCAGATCGGAGTGTCGTCATAGTGCCGGCAGAGACCGGGGAAACCGTTGTGAATAGCCAGGGGGGTGTGGCCGCGAGTCAGGCAGTAGGCAACGGCCGCGCGAGTAGCCTGGTTCATACCACCGGCGGGGGCGCCAACGTGGATAATACCGATGCGCATTCTCTGCGAGCTGTTAGCTCAGTACCCAACGATTTCCAATGTTTTGACATACCTTGTTCTCTGGGAGGAGCAGCTTCGGGTGGTCGGGCGTGGAGGTGTTAATGTATGAATAGTGGTACTCCTTGAATTCCGAATCGCGGAGGGCCATAGCTTCGGCGAACTCCTTGTTCTGGATGTGCTTGGTGACCGTCTTGGTGTGCTGCACGGCGTCCATCAACGGCATGCGCAGGATCTTGTTCTCGCGGATGGTGATGACCGGGGACGGGGCCCCGGGCTGCATGTCCAGCACCGCGCGGACAGCCTCAACACCCTGCAACGTGGACAGCCAGCGGTCGTAGGCACAGGCAGCACCACCTCTCTGAGTGTGACCCAACACAGTCACACGGGTATCCAGGTTCAACCGCTCCGTCAGAATATCCTTAATCTTCGAGCTCGAAATCTTGTTGAGATGGCGATCCTGGGCACCTTCGGCGACGATAACGATCGTCCTGCGCTTTCCACGCTCCTTTCTGTTCTGCAGGGAGTTAGCGATGCCTCTTGAGAGCTCTTCACGAGTCTCCGATCTAACCCACCTTGGTGATGATAGCACACATGTCATCCTCCCATCCGTCCTTGGGCGGCATTTCAGGCACGAACAGCCAGTCGGCACCGGTACTGATAGCGGACATCAAGGCCAGCCAACCGCAGTGACGACCCATGACCTCAATGACGAATCCACGCTGGTGGGAAAAGGCAGTATCGAAGACATCGTCGACGGCGTCACAAATGCGAGTGAGGGAGGAGTAGCAACCAATGGTAGCGTCGGTGCCGGACATGTCGTTATCGATCGAACCCACCAACCCGACGATGTTCAGAATCTGGTATGGCTTGACCTGCTCTTCGGTCAATTCGCCCGTCTCGACCAATTCCTTCAACAGACCGGGCCACTCGGAACGGAACAGGTCGGCACCAGTCAAACTGCCATCACCACCACAGACGACGAGGGCGTCAATGCCACGCAGGACCATGTTTTTGGCAGCGCGCAGACGACCGGGGCGCTCACGGAAGGTCATGCAGCGGGCGGAACCGATCAAGGTACCACCGCGGGACAACCAGCCGCGGACATCCTCCCAGTGAAGCTGACGGATCATGTCGCCGCCATTGACAAGACCCTCGTAACCTTCGTAGACGGCGAAGGCTTCACAGTCGGAGTGGATGGCCATCCGGACGACAGCCCGGACGACACCGTTCATACCGGGAGCATCGCCACCAGAGGTCAAGACACCGATACGGCGTCTCTTGGGCGGTTGCACGGGAGCTTGGGTGGGAGCCATCGTGCGATGGGGATTATGTGGGGGGGGAGGGTGTTCAGCAATTGTTCGGGGATGAGCAACAGCTGAACAAGAAGGTATTTAGAAAACAAAAGCTGGAGAAGGAAAGAATGGAGTAATGGAGAGAAGAGGAGAGGCAAAGAGATAACTTGGTGTTTGAAAGGGTGGGGGAGAAGAGCAGCGCAGGTGCCGGTGAGAAAAAGCGGGTGTGGGCAACCAGTACGTCACTGACTCCGGCCGTCACTGCCCCGCTATACAAATACCTTTCTTATTTAATTCCTTTGTAACAAAAGTAAACTAATTGCCCACCACCGGGGGGGTGAAAAATTCCCTGGTCTGCAGGTGAATGGGCTAGATGCTGTTCGAATGTCGATCGACCGGGTGACCTTGCTGCACTCTGCAATGTGGGCAGATGCTACTCCAGTCATAATGAATAGTAGGAGGGAATGTTCTTCCTCCGGCCATTTCCTCTTTCAGTCTGCAAAACCACAACCTGATGTCACCGCCTCTGCTGGATCGGGACTAGTGCGGGACATCTCACGTGATATATGGGTTAGGGCCCGTGCTGCACGTGATAGCTAAACACGCTAGTCCCATTCAGACAGACACGCCCCTAATCCCTTGTCGCTGATTGAACGATACCTGCTATACAATTAAGTACCTGGGAATTGTTCAGGAGAGAGGTGGCATGATGAAGATTTCTCCTGCTTCTTTCATCTCACCTCAAAACTCTCTGCAAAGTGTTGAGTGCATGATATCTGGATATTTACTCAAGCATGATGTTACGCTGAAGTTCTTCCACTGCCGGACCCCTGTGGTCCACCCCCAATGCCCGGTTTGGCGGTGGAGATATGACAACATAGTCACCTCCAGCTACAAAGTACCGCTCTACAGAGTACTGAATGCAATCATATACTGTGTACATTTGCTCATTCATCCTTGTGCATTTGACCGGGAGCATGAGAGTTCGTCAAAGGAATGCTGCTACACACTCGACAGTGGCACTATCCCGCCGAGACCGTGGTGCAACACTGGTGACACGATTCGTACACAGCAAGTGGCGCGGTGTATCTCGACCCCTGTTCAAACAGCATCCCAGTACAACCAAATCATCTTGCAACGAAGTTCCCAGGTTCAATGAAAGCCTGGACTATCACAAGATCCATTGCACCACCATATATACCACACCAGACACAAAGCCTTCGCCAGTACTAGGCAAACACCCTGCTAGCTGACACCCGTTCATGTTAATCAGCCATCAGTGCTCGGAGACAAAGACACGCAATTCACATACGCCTACTAACATTCTCACTAAAAACCAGTTACCCACATATTCCCACACCTTTCGGAACCCCCTTGGCCCTTTCGCTATCATGTGAACATTTCCTCTGACATCGCACGAACCACTCAACCTTCCCATCCCCCTGTTATACCCTCTTCACCCAGCATCTTCCAACGAGCAAGCCCGGCTAGCTCAATCGGTAGAGCGTGAGACTCTTAATCTCAAGGCTGCGGGTTCGAGCCCCGCGTTGGGCTGTTCAACTTCCTCTTTCCCTTTGCCCGGCTAGCTCAATCGGTAGAGCGTGAGACTCTTAATCTCAAGGCTGCGGGTTCGAGCCCCGCGTTGGGCTTTACTTTTTGCTTTTGAAGGTTTTTACCTCTCACGGTGTGGTTCGTGATGGGGCAAGCATACAATTTTTTCTTTCTGGATCCGAAGCTGTAGTGGATCCACTAGGCCCACCTCTGACACATTGGCCAATCACATGGGCCGCTTAGTAGTTACAATCAAAAAAAAGTCCTCAGTAATGAATTTAATGAAGTGCGCAATTTACTGTTTTGGTATTTTCATACTCTGGAGGTGAGTGTCAATTTCTTATATATGTATGTATGATATCTATAATAGTAGTGATCAACATGGATATGCTCAAAATTACAATGAGACGATGATAAGCAACACCTCAAAAGTGGTGGGTCTGAACCGTTAATAGTACATCATTTAATTACATCATGATAGTCCTGGCTGTGAACTCCCTGTTTAAATATATATAATCAATCTTAACTACACTGCGGGATATTCATACCTTCAACAGCCATCATACTAGTTAGTATATATCGATCTCACTTAGATCCTCATGTAGATTACTAACTACACTCCGCCTCCTCCCTCGCCAACCCAAAAATATCTCCCCCCCTCGGCTCGAACTTCACTCCCTTCGACAGCTTCGACGCCAAATACAACCAACCAACCGCATTCCCAACCGTAGTATTCGCATCAGACAGCCTCCTAAACCCCGCTCCTGCCTTCCCCCGAGACACCCTATCAACACTAAAAATCCTCAAAATACACCGAGCAATTTCCTCCTCATCCCTCTTGTCGACCAAGATAGCATTCTCCGATTCATGCACAAAAGGAAACAGCTCGGCTTCCCGAACAGCAACAACAGGCGTCCCCCTCTGAATAGCTGCGAGAAGCAACTCAGGGATCCCATGAAGAGTGGACAGCTGAACGAGTGCTCTTGCGTTCGTGAGGAGGGCGTTCCACATTTGATCGACGGCTCCGATGGGGACGATGCAGACGGATGCAGATAGAGTCTCGCTGCTGTCGATTTGGGACATTGCTGCGTCGTAGAAAACGGTGCTTTCGGGGGTTCGGAATGGCCCGCGGTGGCAGATTAGGAGCTTGGGGGCTTGGCGGCTTGGATGCTCTTTGGTGTAGATGTCACAGAACTTTTGGTATGCGTGGAGAAGGCAGAGTGTTCCGTCCCCGGGTCGAAATTGGGATAGGTGGAGAATGTATTGCTCTAACGCATGGGAGTTTAGTATGGCTAAAGGGCCGGGTTTAGGGATCTTACCCTCTGGATAGCGTATAATGGTCATCTGGAGCGTTCTGCATAGAGAGCTGAACTCACGACCGTAGTAGCCGATGTCCCAGTCAGTTAGGGACTTGTTTTGACCATCGAGTCTATACTGCATCAGCATGCCTGCTGCAAGTCATGGAAGGGTAGAGACAGTACTGGTCAACAGAGAATGACATATACCCAACATTCTCCTCTGGCATTATACGCGGCGCAAGCTCCTTAGGGAGTAGCGACACCACCAAGTCCACGTGGGTCAGCCGGGTTCGGATGAAGTCCCATGCTCGGGACTGCGGGCTATTGGGATTATTCAGTGACTCTCCCTGGGGCTGGAGACTGCTCTCAAATATGACTGGCCGTTCGGGGTCTTGTTGCTTGGACAGGAGAGCCAATGTTAAGAGCGGCGCACTGTCAATAATCACTACGTCGACGCCTCCCTCCGCACGAGGCCTGAGGGGCCCATTCTCGCACAACCAGTATCTCCTGGCGTTGGAGTATGCAAAGTCGAGGACAAGTAGCTCATCGTTGATGGTGATGTCTGACAGGGGATCGCCTAGTCCTTCCAGGGTGTCCTGCATCTTTCGAATGAGCGGAATCATTCCTGGACGTGGCTTCGGCACAAACCTGTAAGAACGATGTAAGGATCACAAGTAACCGGCTCCAGGCTATAAGAGTCATACCATTTAACATGAACCCCAATGCTCTCGGTAAACCTTGACAAGGCATGTCTGGTCGGAACATCAGGCTTGCCTTGACAGGTCATACTGAAGAAAGCGACCTTCACCTCCCTTTCCCTCAGATCCTGGGCGAAACATTGAGCTAAAGACCATGTGACAGGATCAACCGTCTTCTCATAGTCTTCCGCACTGGCAAGGTGTACATGGTAACCTCTGTCGACATCCACTGAACCATCAAAATTTATGTGATTGTGCAGCACATGGCCAATACCAAAAGAACTACACAAGTCAGCATTAGCAACTACCACCTAGGCATACTAACCGGATACACTTCCGCACCATTGAATCTGCTCGCTCGTCGAGCTCCTTCTTATGCCACCCGGCAAACGTTGTCAGCTCGCCCTGGTCATTATGCTGTCTTTCACGGTCCTTATGGTCCAAAACCAACGGGACAATGTCGAGTTCGCTCCATAGTCGCGAGCATAGCGACGGACATCTATAGACAAGAGACTGATGCAGAGCAGCGCTAACTATCTTTTCGGCATGCTTTTCCCTGTACCTTTTCAGCTCCGTGATGATGGTGTCGGTTGCATAGTCTGAAACATTTGGACGCGGAGCATGCCAAGTACACACTAGAAAGTCGACCAGATCGGTCAGGTTCCGGATCGCAATTGCAACTCTTCCGCTGGAATTATCGCTGATGAGCTCTGTAATTCCAGCGTATATGACCTAGTAGTTTCCCCCATCAGCAACTCAATGTCATGTCTAGGGAGCAATGTTTCATCCTACATTTAGTGGCCTTCCTGACCAGGACTCTGCGTCGAAATCTGAGCTAATGGAACTCATTTCTTTTGTTAATCAGAACCTTATATTGATCAATACTATCATGACCGATCATACTCACCATGTAAAATCAACAGATCATAACGCTCTTATACCCTCTACTATACGTGCTTTTGCCTTCCGGATTGCTTTCCGTACAACCCTACATGGGCTGTTGTTGCCGAACGCCGGGCCTGGAGCGGGGAAACTTTCGGCGTCCCAGAGGACCAAAGACGCCCCCTCTCGCTTGACGCATAAATGACATCTATTAACAATTCTTTTAACTGCTTTGTGCCTATCGTATGACAAGGAGTACGACATACGGTATTCAGACCTCTCGCTTGGAAGGAACAGTCGCGTATTATCCGGCCGGCAACGGCATCAACTCGGAAGTAGGTGTTTGGTTCGGCCGAGTAGGGCCTTCATTCATTGTTTGCAAGTCCCAAGAAGTTGATGATGGAAACGAAGTATGTTCCTGAGATCTACACTTGCATACACCGAGAGCATCATACATAGTAGAGAGTCAAATGGCTACAGCAGTCCGTTATAGTTCCTCTCGACAATTAGAATGAGCTATATCCAGAAATCAACAAGCCCGCGGAGAAATGAGCAGGCCTTTCCCAGGGCCGCTAGGAATGGCCTATATCTCCAGATGGCCTCGAGGCAAAATACAGACTTTATTATTAACCAATGTGCCTGCTCTTTCAGTCACTGACGATCCTCTACATCCTCGGTTGCCTGACATAGCACACAATCCGGCGAGTGAAGGCTGGCGGTGTCGTTCTTTGTGACGATGAAGCGACTTTGTTATTCAATTTTCACCAGACTAGCACAACCCTCACTTGAATAGATTAACTCAGATACTAAGATTTTTCCGTCTGCTCTACATGTGACTTTGCTGGTGCAAGTAGATCATGCCACTTGCGGAATACATTATGTGGATCATACTTCCTCTTCAGCTTCTGTAATCGAGGCAGGTTAGGACCGTAAAGTTTCTCGACACTAACGTCATGTCCTACAGACATTAGCAAGAGAGCTCTTTATGCACAGCTTTATCATAGCTACTTACCTGCAAGATTGGGACATGCCACACCATGATCATCAGGAATGCCTCGTTGCGCTTCCAAGATCTTGGAGATAATACTCCGTTGAAGAGCATGCATCTTCGCATCCAGCTCAGAGTCATGCCAGCATAATAAGAGCTGGGCGCTGTAATAAGGCCCTCGATTGGCACACGCAGTTTCTTCAACAGGAACCTCCACAGTCTTTTTGTATGGTAAAATTTCGAACATCAACACGCTATCTTCCATACGAGGGTACGCATGCAGAGCCTCAACGAACTGACTGTAAAGATCTTGCAAAAGGCTTGTCTCGAGCGGTCGCATGATGTTGGCACCACTGATGCTTTTGCGGCCTTCTGGCACCGGGTCGACATTAGCAACTGAATTCATCTCTATATACGTCCTCATGCCAGTATGATTGGTCAGAGGGGTCATCAGAGGGTTCTGATAAAGGATGGGTCCAAAAAATAATCCGCCTTGATACGCAGACCCGTCGTAGAAAACCACAGCCCGCAATACCATTTGCTTCTCATCTCGTGAATATGCGAATCCAAAGTGGAAGCCACTGTTCGGATCCTGACGTCGATCGAACTCGTTCGCAAAATCGACAAGCATTGGTAGCGTATCCACATCGTACTCTATCACCCCTCCGAAAAACGTGTCTCGGACTTTGTGGGCACGGAATACAAACTCAGTAGCAATACCAAAAGCTTGTCCAGCTCCGCGCATCGCCCAGAATAGGTCCTGGTTCTCCTCGTTTGATGCTGCAACAATGGTGCCGTCGGCCAGGACCACCTTGACACCCACCAGCTGGTCTGCAATCAGGCCGTACTGCCCTGTTAGCCATCCGGAGCCACCTCCTAATGTTGACCCGCCCACCCCAGCGTGACTGGCGATGGCGCCTACCACAGCTAGCCCGTAAGGAGCAGTTGAGTCATTGACCATATCCCAGGTCGCGCCTCCCTGGACACACACCGTCTCAGAGGCAGGGTCTGTCAAGACCTTGCGCATCTTAGCCAAGCTGATTACCACACCCCCATGCGACGAAGAAGCCCCGGTGGTGGAGTGTCCACCAGCCTCGACCACGAAGTCGATGTGATGCTTCCGGCAGAACCGGACCACCTCAGCCACTTCTGCTGTACTTGCTACACGTACAACGGCACCCTGTGCTTGGTCAGAACTGTATTCAAGCGGCCAGGAGGAGAGTGAAAGTAGTCACATACAGCTTCTTTTTCGCAGGTGTCACTCCATCGGCGAATGCTTGTCGCATAATCATCGCACCCGATACAGATAACCTCAGCTCTGGTTCCTTGCAATTGCCTCCTCAGTTCCAGCGCACGGGCATATGACAGGAAAGGCATGGCTGAGATTTTGGTTACACAACCTCGGTTGGTTCACCATGGAAATCATCAGATCGACAAGGAATTTGTAGCCCCAACCATACAGCAGGAGATGGGAACCTACTTATCTGTACATTCTGTCAAGTGCCAACAGACAGTCGCTGTTTTGCTGGTAGATGAGAAGACCTACATAGGTGACATGGAAACGTCTCCAAGCTGGCCACTAGGACGTTCACATCTTCTGCAGTCGTGCAACGTATCAACTGCTTGACGCAAATCATACGATTTGACGGCTTTGTCATGCCGCAACCCCGACGTTCCATTAGACGTGGCTGATTCCGCCATGGATGGCTCTGCCTAGATCACGAAGCTGCACAACTTAAGGTTTCCCCAACCGCGGGCCCTTCCCACACGTGGAGGGATCTGCTAGACAGCTCTCCTGGGCTGACGAAAATGGAAGACACCTTCCGGCCAATAGTCATAAATACCATTCTTTGGGTGCACTGATTATGCTGTTTGTACTCCGGTTTCTCGTGATACTGCATCCCGTCTCATGACAGTCGGTTCTTCGTGATGATATCATGACACTGTGGCTTCTGAGCATTCAAAAGTATTGCAACCACTTCCCACTGAGATGAAACCGGCTCAGCATACAGTCTACGATTGTACAAGTTATTTTCACCCAGATAGCTCCCTTGTATCTATTTTATATCATCGAAAAACGACGACTAAGTATTAAGAGGTAATCGATATAGTCAACATGAACCGCGGTAACGGATTGAAGAGGGATCCGAAAACCACCAAGGCCTGGCTCATAGGCAGTGGAATTTCATCTCTTGCCGGAGCAGTCCATCTCATTCATGACGCGGGTGTTCCTGCAGCGAATATCCATATCCTTGATGTGCACTCCCATGCAGGTGGCGGCATCAAAAGTTGCGGCGACGCAGAGAACGGTTACGTTCTGTACACTGGAAGCCTGCCCTACTTCCATGATCGATGCGTAGAGCACCTGCTTTCTCTTGTTCCCAGCACCGATAATCCAAAGCAGTCACTCCTTGATAGCATTAAGGAGTTGGACCGGGCAACCTCTCCTAAACGGGCAGCGCCAACACGTCTCATAAAGCATGGAGATAAAGGCCCAGAATGCCTCCACTCCAAAAGTCTCCAGATTGGACCGAAGTACCGAATGGAACTAATCAAATTGATGCTTGAAAATGAACGTATGCTCGGAGAGAAAGCCATCCAGGACGCCTTCGATGAAGCATTTTTCAAGACTAACTTTTGGACGCTGTGGTCTACGACGTAGGTTGATACTACGAATTCCAACTGTTACAAGGCTGATAGTATACAGCTTCGCTATGCAGCCATGGCATAGCCTGGCAGAGTTCAGAAGATGTCTATGTAAACATCTGGCTGAAATTGAACGCTTGAATGACGTGAAGGCTTTGGATCGAACCAAGTATACAATCTACGAGTCAGTTGTTATGCCAATCGAATCATATCTGAAAATGCAGGGAGTCGACTTCCATTTCAACGCAAAGGTCACAAGCCTGCAAATGGACCCGAAAGAGGCCCAGACTACCGTCTCCGGGATCATCCTCAAAGATAACGGCGAGCAGAAGACCATCGACGTGAGGCCCGAGGACCTTGTCATGGTTACCCTTGGATCAACAACTTCTGCAACTGAGAGAGGATCAAACGACAAGGCCCCGAATCCTGTCCCCCAGCATGACAAAGAGTTCCTGGATGATGACTGGGCCCTGTGGATCGACCTGATGCAGGCCTCTACGGACTATGGAAACCCGTTCAACTTCCACAACAACGTTGACCAGTCGACTCTGGAGTCTTTCACCGTCACCCTCCGCGACAGCGACTTTATGGAACGCTACGAGAAACTAACCAACAACAAGCCCGGCACGGGGGCTCTGCTTTCTTTCTCCGATAGCAACTGGGGCCTGAGTATCAGCGTTCCGCGTCAGCCCGTGTGCTCTGACCAGCCCTCCTCCGTCGATGTATTCTGGGGCTATGGGCTGCATCCCGAGAAGACTGGAAATTTTGTCCACAAGCCCATGTGTCATTGCTCCGGCAAGGAGATTCTAACCGAGGTGCTATCCCAGCTAGGAATGCCAGTGGATGACATACTCCCGAACTCGATCACAAAGCCTGTTCTGATGCCCATGGCCACGGCACCACTGATGCCCCGTCGTCATGACTTCCGCCCTGAAGTCATGCCTTCCCAGAGCAAGAATTTGGCCTTGGTGGGACAGTACGTTGAGATTCAGGATGATACAACTTTGAGTATGGAGTATAGCGTGCGCGGTGCCCAGATGGCTGTGTTCTCAGCTATGAAGCTGAACAAGCATCCTCCCAAGATTGAACGACACCTGTTGCTATCTGTTTTTGATTTGCTTGGAGGTGCCTAGTCGATACCTTCAAAATCAGGATCAGTGAAGTACATGTTTATCGCTGTATTGCTTCATAGTTACTGGGAACTCTGTACCCAAGCAAACTGTATCATGTCTGTCATTGCAAATATCGCTCAATATCCCATGCTCCTACTCAATATGATATAACACCAGACTGACCAAATACCAATCCCATTACCATTCAAATCCCTCCCTTTCTACCAATTATCATCCTCATCCCACACCTCCGCAAACGAACACCTCCCAGCCCTACACCCCTCACACAACTCCCTATTATGCGGCTTAGTCCTCTTCCTCTCATCGTACACAGGCCTCTCCACATCAACCCCATACCACTTCTTCAAGCGATATGCAATCCTCTCCGCATAGCTGTCCTCATCCAAAAACGGCCGACTAAGCGAATTACACTTCTTACAGCGCTGATGATACACCCGTGCATTGTACTCGTCCCTTGGGTACAGCCGGATCGTAATGGCGATCTTCTTGCTCGTCCAGCCGGTCGACGTGCATGAGTCGTTTGAGCAGACGAAACGGCCCATGATGTTCGTGTCGTATTCTTTTTTTGCTGCTGGTGGCGTCGTCGAAGGGATGGAAGGTTAGCGAGGTGATTGGGAGGGAGGAGCTCAGGTGGTTGAGGACGTCGCTGTGCAGGGCTGGGTACATGGACCAGCGGTTGCGGGGGAGGTTGGATTTGGGGTTGGATTTGGATTTGCGGGAGGGCATATTGGACGGGTGTAGCTTTTAGTGAGTGTATGGAGGTGATGGCTGCTGATGGGATTCTTGGAGGGGATATTCAGGCTCATGGAGACTGGAGATCTGGTGTTCGTGAAGCGCTCTTCAACTGTATGTATTGACAGGTTCAGGCAGAAGCGGGGTGAATTGGTTAGTTGCGAGAAGGCATGTGATGTGCTTGTATCGCATGTGTGTTCCACCTATAGGTATCTCTCTCCGGCTGTAGTATCGGGGTGGCTAGGTTTCGCATATGATTGGCTTGATCATAGTCTGATTTGGTCCAATTTATATGCATAAAAATATAAAACAGTATTTAACAGCTAGGAAATCAAGGCTTTGCTTTTCGAATAATGGCTATACTGAAGCATCTTAGGATATCATATTCTTATCGAGTTGGCTATCGCCGATGAAGCTGCCACCGGTTATGCCTTAGGGAGAGGGACCCGAGCATTGTTTAGACAATAAGGGCTATCTGACATTGCTCAGGATACATCAAGTTCTATTCAGATAACCTGGTGATAGTGCATGAAGCAGCTGAAACCCTAAAGTGAAATATATCCAATGGCACTATATCCATAGGGGTTTCTTCCTGAGGCATACAGACCCGCCATCCACACCAGTCCATATCCGGACTAGCCCCTAGCTCCAGAGCAGTCACGTGTCTCCTATCAGCAATGCGATCATCCGTCACCATCACTCCATTATCAAACAACAATATACCTTCAATTCAACCTGCTCTCCGGCAGCGGACCACAACCATGGCCGACTCCTTCAGCCTTCCTCTGCGCCCGCTCACGGAGAAGCCCGACCGCCCCGACACCCTCCCAATCGAGATCGCCCAAATCAACGCCCGATGGGGATCCTTCCGCGACGTGAACGAAGAGACATTGCTTGCCAAGATCGAAGAGGACAAGAACCGGGACCCATGGGAGGAGGAAGACGAGGATGATAAACCTGCCGAGGATGTGGACTCGACCGAGCGTCTGGAAACATTGTACAAGCGGCGGGCCGAGATCCTGCAGTTCGCTATGTAAGTAGGTGTCTGCTGTCGACAATAAGTGGGCAATGGAGCTAATTGGTTTGCTGCGGATGAAGGCAGGCGCATATGGAAGCTCTGTTCGCTTTGGATTTCGTTTCGCTTTTGCTTTCGAAGCATACCCCTCGTCAGGCGGAGACTTCTATGTCGACGTTCTTGAAACAGGTTGCGCCGCTGGGGTCGTTGAATGCGGAGATTGTGGAACCGCCGCCGAAGTCGGAGGCCGCTGTGCAGGATGTTAAGACTGTGTCGCGGGGTTGGAGGGCGCAGAACTTCAATGCTGCTGCGAATAAATTGCTCAATTCGGCGACACGACTGGAAGAAGAGGTCGCTTCGGAGACGAAGTACTGGGATGAGGTGCTGGCGGTTAAGGAGAAGGGATGGAAGGTCTGCAGGTTGCCTCGCGAGAGAACTGCGCTGGGAGTACAATATGGGTTTTTGGAAGGTAGGATTGCTACGTCCTTACGTTGGATTTTTGCTAACTGCATTGTATAGCTACGCCTATATTCCGCGACCGGGGTCTTGCTGCTCTACGAAGGGCTGACAATGGAAGCTTAATACTGGATAAGGGGTTGGCACCACAGAAGACGAGAACTGTTCGGGTGCGTGTGAAGCACCGCGGACAAATTACGGGATGCTCCAAAATGCCGGATCCGATCTCCGATGCGGCTTCGGTTGAGCGCAGGATCTTGCAAGCACGCGACACAGTGTACGAGGAGGAGCTATTCCACGAATTGATGCGCGAAGCACGTATAATGGGAAGTCAGGGTGTGACGACTCGGCAAAACCTGGTCCGTGTACCGATATCCGAAGAGCAAGAGATCTTGCTGGATCTGGTAGATGCCGACCGTGAAACGCCCGACGAAGACAAGATTGAGTCAACAGAACACGATGTCCTTGCCAATGGGCTTTCTCATTCCATTCGGATCCTGCTGGCGTATGCACATCGCCAGAACCTGCGACGCAGGACTCAACCGCCGCCCCCGCTCTCTCAGAAGCGTCGGCACACCCCCGAGTATCAGCTCTTGCGCCCCGTCATGGCGTATCTCCAACACAGCTCGCACGTCAGGTGGCTGGAATTATTTATGAATGATATATACCGGGTTCTCCGCGCTGCAGGAGTCGAGCGTGATTTCCACGCCCTGCCTTTTGCGTCTGTCAGCCTCCCGAAGATGCAGGCTGTTCCGAAGGTAGAGAGTCTGGTGCAACAGTTCCTGATGCCCTTCGAATCGACATTTTCCGGCCATTTGATCACCCCTCAGAGCTCTTTCCGCGTGAAAATCCGTACCAACCCGGTATCACCTCCTTTTGGCACCCACTACGATATTTCCATAGACCTTCCTCACCATCCTGAAGTGCAGCCTCCCGGTCGGATTGGGTTGCAGAATGAAGCAGCCGCAGCTCTCATGCATTTCGTGAAATTGGACATCGTGTCGGCCATCGCGCTTCAAGGCTCGAAGACGGCCAAAAACACCAAGAAAGAGGGCGCCGAGGGGGATAAGCAATTGACCTGGGAGGCGGCATACCCACACCACGGTGAACTACTGGCATTGTCGAATACTGGCCGAAGTAAGAAGCTGAAGATTAGCTTGTCACGGGAGGAGTTGAAGGTGGAAACATTTCCGCTTCGAGGACTTGAAGGGTTTGGCCGATCGGGCGCCACCAAGGCACCGAGTTTGCAGTCTCAGACATGGACATCGGACCAGACGCCTTCTAAGCCTGGTTTGATGGAGTTTGTGGCTGAGGTGTCGCGGGACCAGTCATAAGCAGCTGCCGTCCCGTATGCTGAGCACGTAGGAATATCCCTCATGATAGAATCGGAGCATGTGTGGCGAATTCCTGGACAGATAGGTGTTTTATGTATTGATACCCATGACAAAATATTCCAATAACTGGCACAAATATGTCAATGGTCCAAACTTCCACAACACTAACCTACCTGTAAATAGCCTGGATGACCGCCTAAGGGATCCGCAGACGTGGGACGAAGGGATGCTTTCACGTGGTGCATTAGCTTGCAGCCATATGCATTGTTGGGGTCAGTTATTCTGCAACTACATACACCCTCCCATCCTCCTCATCAGCGTCACGGACTCTCATATCACTCTGTTCCTTCTTACTTCCAGATGGTGTCACTGTTGAGGTTGGTCAGAAACTCTTTCCGCAGGGCTCCATCCCGTCCCATGTGTTTCCCGACCAGCGGATGGGACACAATTCCTGCGGCGGAGATACTTGACGAAGAGCGATTCGATGGATTCAAGAAGGGGCAATATTATCCCGTGAATATCGGTGATGTTTTTGCCTCCAAATACCAAGTCATTGGCAAGCTGGGATTTGGCGTTACTTCAACTGCATGGCTTGCCCGTGATCTTGAGTAGGTCGGATCCAGATGTAGCAATTCATCTGCTAATATATCCAGGGGCCATCGATATGTGACACTGAAAGTTTACATTCGAGATGAAGACAACGCAGAAGATTTTCGAATCTATAATCACTTGAAAGAGCACAAGTCATCCCACCCTGGCTATGCGCACGTGAGAACAGCTCTTGATCTATCCACCATTTCTCGCAATGGTGGCAATCATCACTGTCTCGTCCAGCAGCCCATGTGGGAGAGCTTTGGTCATCTACTTTATCGAAATCCCACACATCGCTTCACCGAAGATTTGCTCAAAGCCGGTCTCATGCAGATGTTCCTTGCACTTGATTACCTGCACACTGAATGCAAGCTTGTTCATACAGGTACGCCAGCCCTGTTATTAACAAAGGAGATAAATTCTGACGACTGAAAAAGATATCAAAAGTGATAACATTGTGCAAGAGATTGCAGACAGCTCAATACTCGAAGCCTTCACCAAAGCTGAAATGGACAGCCCTGCGCCCCGCAAATTTGTAAATAGCGCACCAGTATATGCTTCGCGGCGTTTCGAACTACCCAGGTTTTTGGACGCGCAGTCTTGAGTGACTTTAGATCTGCAGTACGAGGTGATGTGAAACAAGATCACGATGCCCAGCCGAATGTGTACCGATCACCGGAGGTAATGTTGATGACCGAGTGGAGCTATCCCGTTGATATCTGGAATGTGGGTGTTATGGTATGTTACGTTCTCATTCCTTACTATTGTTGTCGTGAGGGTACTAACGCGAATCAACTAGATTTGGGATTTATTCGAAGGAAAGCATATGTTCAATGGAAATGACCCCGACGGGAAAGGGTACTCTACCCGTGCGCATCTGGCAGAGGTGATCGGTCTCATAGGACCTCCCCCGTCAGATATGCTCAAGCGTGGAAAACGAAGTCATGAATTCTTTACTGAAGACGGTAAGTTACATTTGCGTGTCTTGGGTTGTCAAGCGTAAGATACTGAAGACCGAGCAGGGAATTGGAAACAAGACATAGCCATACCGCAGACAGGGGGCCTAGAGGCATCTGAACAGTTTCTCGAAGGCAGGAATAAGGAGATGTTTTTAGATTTCATGAGTGGGATGCTCCAGTGGCGTCCAGAGGACAGAAAGACGGCAAGAGAGCTCCTCAAAGATCACTGGTTAAACGAGCAGATAGAGTAATGTACACTTTGTGTCAGATGGGGGAAATATCAACCCTGAAACAACCCGACAGTGCCGACACACCCGAACACTAGCGTTTCACCTCCTTATCAACCTGATAAGAGCATCACAACTACTATTTATATTTCCGCAATAGCCGATAGATTGATCCAGAATTCCTTCGGAAGTATATCCCTTGAATATCTGTATATTAATCCCTCATGCCCATCCCTTTTCGCGTAGCATATCTATACAGACGGAATGTGTATATGCCTCACCGATCGTGCAACAAGTCTGTGCTCTGATTATATGGACGAATGGGATGCGACGGACGCAGAGATTATGTGCTGTAGGGTCAGTGTCATGTGTATAGATCGATCCATATCATGCAATCTAGATCATCTGGTGATAAATGATGGATGGATAGGGGACGGGTATACGGCATGCTTACTTGGCAATATCCCATTCTGAAAGGAGGGAAGTTATGTAGCACTCTGTATGAGAAGTAAATAAGTATTTAGTTCATTCCTCATCGTCAGTCTTTTGCTACATACTACCAAGTCATCACCACAATCCAT